TGTCTATGGGCTCCAGTAACCACATAACATCAGTTGGGCTGTGAGCTCGTCCACCCATCAAAGCAATAAAAAAAATAAAAAAATAGCATTGACTATATATGATATAATTGAGAATAGATTAAATATTCTTTGTCTTTATTATATTAATATTTGTCTAAAGTGTAGTTTTGGCCAAATTTGTGGTTATAGAAGTATAATAGTAGTCTTTGACAATCAATAATAATAGTGTATAAACTTATGATTTCAATTAATTATAGTCGAATATCGACTATTGCGGGACTACTAGTCTAAATTAATGAATATAACTTTGGAACGGTTTTATGTGTTACGGAAAACGCGGTAAAAGCAAGAAGAACTTTTCATGACGGATGATTGTTTGACAGTCAACGTTAAGCTCCATTCCGGCGCGTTCGTTATAACGTAATATATTATTGAGGCTACGACCTCATGTCTCAAGGTTGGACCGACATTTAAGTTGTGTAGTATGTGGGCTCCCGTTTTTTTTAACCCTGCTCATATAGAATAATAAAAAAGACGTAGTTTTTATATAAAGATTGATTATATAAAGACTGAAGAAGAACATATACATAGGTTTAAGAAAACGATTAAAGAACATCTGTGCAATAAAGCTTACTATAAAGTCAATGATTATCTAGAAGATTGCACAAAGTGGGAATGAGTTGCTCGCTCCGGGCATTTCAATATTGTAATAATTGTTACGTTATGATACTCATTGTAAAAAATTGATATTTTAAAAAAAATCGAATATTAAAAAATAAATAAACAATAAGTAATTTCATATTTAAAAAAAAAAAGACATGCCCGCTGAGTTTCTTGCCAATTCTTCTCAGGACGGAGGCTAGTTCTTGTGAATTGGCGGTAGTTCTTTTGACGTTCAACAAGTATGTACTTTCATTTATGTTGAATAATTTTTTTTTGATTTGATTTGATTTGATCGTAGGTTGACCACAATACAACTAGGTCCTAAGCAGGTGTTGCATAGTTACATACTTATGTACATTCGTGCATAGTAATAATGAATTAATAAATAAATAAAATACATATTTATTTGTAACTTATAAAGTAATGTGTAATTATTAAGCCTTATTATTAAATCCGCAATTAGGGTCTATGGTGGCTTGGATTTTAGTCCTTTAAGCCAAATATTCATTCGGTGTGTATGAAATCTTGTTGATTAATCTGGACGATTGCTATGATCGGACCGATTGAACATATTATTATAACAATATAACTAAATTCATTGAAAAAATGATAAAAAAATATTAAATAACCTCTCAGTTAAAATGGTGGGTAACTAACTTTACTGATCCCCGTCAATGCGTTTTTGATTTGAAAAGCGAACAAGCCACTTTCTGACGTTTTCTTGAATTTTGTCCTACTCGTGCATTTTCACAGATACTAATGCCGGCCACTCACATGCACGCAAATATTCGTACATTGTTTTTGTTTTTTTTTTTTATTTATTGCTTAGATGAATGGACGAGCTCACAGCCTACCTGGTGTTAAGTGGTTACTGGAGCCCATAGACATCTACAACGTAAATGCGCCACCCACCTTGAGATATAAGTTCTAAGGTCTCAATTATAGTTACAACGGCTGCCCCACCCTTCAAACTGAAACGCATTACTGCTTCACGGTAGAAATAGGCAGGATGGTGGTACCTACCCGTGCGGACTCACAAGAGGTCCTACCACCAGTAATTACGCAAATTATAATTTTGCGGGTTTCATTTTTATTACACGATGTTATTCCTTCACCGTGGAAATCAATGTACGAATGTTCGCGCGTATGTGATGGGCCGTCAAACATTCATTCGCAAACTTAGCGGCTAGGCTGTGCAAATGGGTTCGGTATTCAATTTGCGAACCCGTTTGCGCTTCCTCCTACACTTGTTTACGAATGTCTCATAAATTTCTCTTCTTTTTTAATTCGCCAATAGAACATTGAATAGAAAGAGAGTTTTTAATTCTTTCCCGACATTAACGGCCATTCCGTTTTTATGGGATTTCTTTTGAGGGTCCTACATGGTCGATTCATTTTGCAGGAGTTCAATGAACTCCATCACCTTGGTGTTGTTCCAATCCATGATGAAGGTACGCTACATAGTAGATGTCACGAACTATGAAAATGGCGAAACGTCCGTTACCTTCGCAATCGTGGGCGCAACTGGTCACACGAATGTGTGGGAGACTACGCGAAGGATTGCGGCTCGCGCGCTTTGATATCCGTTAAAAAACCGACACAGCTTGGAAAACCGCGCATGCAGGGAAAACTTTGCATAATCATTTGCAAATGTCGTCCTACACTCGTGGGTTTGTGTATTCGTGCGAATGTGAGTGACCGGTATTAAGGGTAATCAAGCATTTAAAAATGAAGGGACACTAGATTAACAAAACAAAACAATTCACATAACTCGCTTCTCGCATTCCCGCCAAAAGTTTCTCTCGCTTACACAATAAAGTGCCTTATTCGCCAATGAACATTATTCATCTTGATACATTGTTTGTCTTGTTTGTGATTGCACTAAACATAAATCTCCGGGCAACTAAGAAAGGGTAAGGCAAACACATTTGCGTTAATTTATTGTTTTGCAACCTGAGGTCACGCGCCCGGTCACAGTACATGAGTTTAACAGTAACCAAAGATTTAACTCGGAACTGCCTTGACATGAATTTGGGCGTTTTTTTTTTTATTTTTTTGTTTATGGCTAATGGGCAGATGAGCATGCGGCCCACCTGATGGTGAGTGGTTACCGTCGCTAATGGACATCAGCAATGCCAGGAGCAGAGCCAAGCCGCTGCCACCATAAACTGTTTTTGGAGTTTACTCCTTTAGAATCGATTTACATATATAGGCCCGGGGTATGAAAATTATGGGGACCAAAATCGTACTAGCATGTCACACGAAATGCGTTATGCGCCTGATTGGCTCCTGATTGCGTGATGCGTGCGCGCGCCAATCAGGAGCCAACGCGCGGCCGCGTTATCGCAGGTGACGCCGGGCTGCTGCGCCGGCAGTCCGCCACAAAGCCTCGTACTGATCGCGCGTTTCTCTCATTATTGTATTTTCATATATTTGTTAGTCGTTTGTTTTGTGTCTCGTTAATTTGTTAATAATCTGTAGTGTATCGTGTTGTCGTAATATAGAACTATTTCTCGTATTGTTTCGTTTAATTTTTTATATCCAGTAAACTCCAGTCGTGCGTCGGAGCGGACACACACACTTTTTTTTTTTTTATATTATCAACTAGTGAATGAAAACGAAAGAGATGAAAATGAAAAAAAAAATTAGAAATTATAGCGTAAGACTAGGTCAAGTAGCGACAACTTGTGAGGGTTCTATGTATCAGCAGGATACCTTAGGATTGCAACAACAACAAAGTGAATGAAAACCGCGTGAAACAGTTCGATCTGACACTCAGTCCACAGCATCAGACCCTGAGTTTTCCGGTGAAGCTGAAATGGTTGAGGTCAAGGCCACCGGTAATTTTTTCCAATCAAAAAAACGAATATTTTTTTTAGTTTCTCTAGCATTGTTTTAAATCTCGTTTACATACTAATTTATGTTGACTTACGATCAGTGGCACGTGGATTCCTCTGCCATTATTTTCGGTATGATGAATCCATCACAGTAACTGTTACCTTAAGAACGCAGCTTCTCAAATATTTGGACTCAAAAAGCCTTCAATTAACATCGACAGGACATCTTTATAAAAACAGTTATTACGTAAAAATGTTGTCGTAATGAAAGCTTAAGTTCTCCTTTTAAAGGAATAATTAATATCGGTTAAAATGTCAATGTCTTCGAAGATTTATGGTTATTGAAGCCCGTAAGATTCGGTAATTATTAGGCATTTAAGATGAGTACGGATACAGTAATTGTATTTTTTTTTTTTTTTATTCCTTAGATGGATGGACGATCTCACAGCCCACCTGATGTTAAGTGGTTACTGGAGCCCATAGACATCTACAACGTAAATGCGCCACCCACCTCGAGATATAAGTTCTAAGGTCTCAGTATAGTTACGACGGCTACCCCACCCTTCGAACCGAAACGCATTACTGCTTCACGGCGGAAATAGGCGGAGTGGTGGTACCTACCCGTGCGGACTCCCAAGAGGTCCTACCACCAGTGATTACGCAAATTATAATTTTTTGTTGAATTATTTGTTTCCGTCGCTGCTAAAGTCAGTTGTAAATTTTATCAGAAATGAAATTCGTGTGACGAACACAACTTAGTGAGATTGGTCTTGGTGATTGTTTAAAAATCCGCCAGCAAACTTAGTCTTGGAATTGTAAATGTTGTCGATTTAGTTACGTGAAAGGCTCTAATAAGGAAAGAGAATTCTTGCACTAGTTAGTACTAATTGCTCTGCTGAATAAAGAAAATGAAAACCGTGTATTGTTTGCAAATTAACATTATAGTCTGTAGAAGATACGTTCGCACTTTGCTCCCTCCCAGGCATTGTATACTAATTGTTCAAAGTTTTTTGGGCAAAATTTCGTCCTTGAAATATCCGAGATCCAATGTGTAAGAAAACGTAGTAATTGGAAGTAAGGTATATTGTGGTACAGGCACGGGAAAGAAAGAGCTATTCGTAGCGTGAATCGCGTTTTCTTGGAGGACAGGGTTTATTATGGAAACCTTGTCTCCAAATGGGTTTAATTCCATTTAGGCTCGGAGGCGAATTGTTAATGTTCGATGTTTTTTTGTAATTTTATTAATCTTTTCTAATATATAAATCTACAGTGGTTTTTACGGATGTTCCGTTATAACTACTGAACCATGCATCCGATTGACTTGAAACTTGGTACTTAATGGATAGGCTAGTATTTATATAAGTGTTGGACTCCCTACACCAGTTGCGGGGGCGTTAATGATGAGAATCTTTGTGGGGGTGAGAAATAATAATGTTAATTTTAAATGCCCAGCGAAGCGGACGGGTACAGCTAGTAATATATATTGTTGTTCGCTCACAGGTGTCCAGCAGTGTCGCTCCCTCAGACGCACGTGCACCAGAGCGCTCGGTACCTGCACAGTACTATGCAAGAGTCCAACAGAACAGCCTCCGGCGCCTCCGCCATCTAACTCAGGGAAAGATGCCGCTGCCTCAGGTAATGCTGCTTCTCCTGGATGAGTGGTCCAGCTTGCTCGCTGGTTGTCATTGGAGTCCACCAAACCAGAGTTAATCCGTTGGGGCTTACAATAGCGCCAATAATTGCGCAGTATGTTATTTATTGTGGGTTTGATTTGAAACATAATAGTTATATGTTGCATTATGTTGATACATGGTGCAGGTGAGGTTTCTGAAAAGGCATTAATTACTGCATCTGAGGAATCACTACGACCACATTGTCTTCGTTTTCAAGATGGATTCCAATACATCTTGTTTTCATGGGATCGTGGTATTCACCGTCCAATGAACATAAAGTTACAGCAAAAATATTCATGTACGCTATGAACCGTGATTGATTGCTATCCTTTGGCAAACTGTTAATTTATTTATTTATTGTTTAGATGGGTGGACGAACTTACGGCTCACATGATATTAAGTGGTTACCAGAGTCCGTAGACATCTACAACATAAATGCCACCACCCACCATGAGACATGAGTTCTAAGGTCTCACTTTTAACTACAGCTGTTCCGCCCTTCAAACCGAAACGCATTACTGCTTCACGGCCAAAATAGGTAGGGTGGTAAAACCTACCCTTGCGGATTCGCAAGACCTCCTACGACCAGTATGTTTTACTCATTGTTAAAGCTCTACAAATAAATAAATCAGGACTTCGGATAGTACGAGCCAAAATTCCGCGTGGGTTCTTGATAATGTTCGAAAGTGCTCAACAATCATTTCTGACAGGTACATCAGGTGGAAAAAAGTCTGGCAACGGTGGTAACGGAGTACTGACATGTCCGAAATGCGGAGACCCCTGTACGCACGTCGAGACGTTCGTGAGTTCGACGCGTTTCGTGAAGTGCGACAAGTGCCACCACTTCTTCGTGGTTCTCAGTGAAGTGGACACCAAGAAGAGTATTAAAGATAGTACAGACAACAAATCAGGGTTCTACAGGTAAGGTTAAAATAAAAAAGAGGCCATTATTACTTACAAGCTTTGTGATCTGGTCTGAACATCAACAATAACGGCCGTCTGGTGTAGTGGTAAGTGACATGGTCACTACACAAGGGGGTCGCGGGTTCGAATCCCGCCAAGGGAATATATTTGTATGATAAATATAAAATGTCTTTTCCAGGGTTATGGATGTATATTAAATTTATGTACGTGTATAATAAAAATCTTACATTTATTTCCGTTATCTGGTACCTGTAACACAAGCTCTTTACGAACTTAGTACGGGACCAGTTAATGTGGCGTGATTGTTAGTATATATTTAATTATTATAAAAAAAAAAAATGTTCGTGAATATGGACAAATCAAGGCTCGTCTGGAGTAAGGTTGGGGCTGAATTAAACGAAAAGTTAATAATGTCATGTGATAACAATAAAGTCTAATAAAAAAAAACAGGAAAGATTCTTCATAAAGCACCTTTGGACATTGAAACTATTAAGTTGCGGACTAAAAACCAAGTTTCAAGGCTTAATGCATGTAGAGCAAACTAATTCTACGTAATTTAGTTCACGAGACAGTTTTGTTACTAGACTGTTTTTGTATTGATTTAGGTCTAATTAAGTATTTCAAATGTACAATCAATTTCATGAACGCATTTGACCTGTTTGATTGTTTCACTTATCTATATATTAATACGTGAAGCAAAAACTTTGTACCCTTTGTGGTCAAATTGAGAATAGGTTAATATTGTTAATCTTTAATACCATTTGTCTAGTGTAGTCTTGGCGAAATCTCTGATTATAGAAATAATAGTCTTTGACAATATAACCATAATATTGTTCAAACTTATAATTACAATTAATTATAGTCGAACTTCGACTACTGCGGGACCACTAGTTTGTTGAAATTCATCAACATTTCGGATCTATAATGTTTGATTCCTATTTCATTACTTTGGATCTGCACAGTAGTTTCTATCTCATAACTTTAACATATTCGGAACACATCCGTTTGTTGTTTACTTGTTTGGATCGTTTTTTTATCATTGTTTCTCTATTGACGTAACTCTTTTTATTGTCGTTCTTCAAAAATCCTCTGATTTCTGCACGAACAGTGTTCTTAACAAAATCAAACTACTGTTTATCGTTATTTTGAGAATCGACTGCTCTTTTCAATTTTCAGTTTTGTGGCACTAGATGAGTCAGTGTGAGTCATTAAACATCAAAGACAACACAACGTGAATGCTATCCCATCCCATCTCATCTTATCTGGAGAAATGATGCCGAAGTTTCAATTCTGTGCTATAGCGATTTCATTAGCGGCAGTCGCGGCAGAAATAGACGGAACGGTGCTACTTACCCACGAGGATTGACAATACCACTAATAAGATCTATCCAACAGAACGTTATATGATATTGCGAGAAGCGTCGTTAATGATCATAGCTATACAGAAAGGCGATCTTTCGTCGATTATCTTGGAAGACCCGTTCGAGTACTTTTATGTTATCGTTAGAGAGGTTAGCACATCGGGGCTGTCATATATCATTGAACTTTTAGAAGACATCAACAGAGCAGATATATATTTTTTTGCTTAGATGGGTGGACCTGTACATATGTCGTCAGCAAATACGGCTAGCTGGGTCGGCGGCGACCGGGGAATATCGTTAATAAATAAACGTAATAGGAGCGGAGAGAGAACGGAGCCTTGCGGGACTCCAGCCGTGATTGGTCGCGGGAAGTCTTATTCTTTAGGCCACGACGACTTAATTCATAATCACTTTGTTCTTAGTGTCTTCTTAGTTTTATTTTTATTTTTTATTGCCTTTGTAGGCAGACGGGCATACGGCCCACCTGATGGTGAGTGGTTACCGTCGCCCATGGACTTCAGTAATGCCAGGGGTAGAGCCAAGCCGCTGCCTACCGCATAATACTCTCCACAAGCTTCGTTTGAAGAAGGAAGAATCGTTATATCTGAAGACGTTCTGAACTATTTTTATTATAAAGGATCATAACCACAATTAGTTAGTGCCATGTGTTTAATCGTACCTAAGAATAAATTATAGCATGAGAATTTTAAAAATGTTTTCTCGCACAATTGATTTTTTTCTAATCTAAACATGACACAGCAACATTTTTGCAGTCACCTCCGAAAGTTAAATGACCTCTACTAACTATACTAATGTAATGATTTTAATGTTATGTTTAGCGAGTGCGCGTTAAATGTTCATTTTACAACAAGAGTGTGGGGTAGCTGAACTCGCTTTTACAAGACGTTCAATGTCAGATATCTATATATTAATACGTGAAGCAAAAACTTTGTGTCCTTTTTACGAAAATTGCGCGGACGGAGGAGTATGAAATTTCCCACACTTATAGAGAATATAGAGAAGGAGTGCGGAATGCTAATATTTTTTTAAATTATACCTAAAAAATACATTAAATCAATAAAAAAAATATTACACACACTACCATGTATTTGACGCACACACGCATGTACACCATTTATTTATTGTCAAACTTTTGTTCTTGACGTCTGTGGTCAAATTGAGAATAGATTAAATTTAATATTGTTTCTCCTTATTAATATTTTTTTTATAGTGTAGTCTTGGTGAAATTTGTGATAGAAATATACAAATCTTTAATAATAGAATCATAATAGTGTACAAACTTATATTTCAATTAATTTTAGTCGAATTTCGACTAACAGGGCATCACTAGTGACGAGAAATATGCATTCATACATTGAATGTTATAAAATATTGATACGCGCTGGGGTTCGGGATAAATAAAATTTAACCAAAGTACAACTTAAAACTGTAATTAACACTTGGAACACTTAAAACGCTCAATAAATACTTAAAAACTCTCAATTCGTTTGTTCCACTTCGCTTCAGGTGATCCGTTCAGGTGTTTCGCTTCGAGTAGTTCCGATTACTGACTGACTGCGTGCCATCTCTACAAAGCTTTTATAGCCGATACCTCATCCGTAGAACTATCGAGAATATTCCACACATCTCCAGTAGTAGTTTCCGCTATCTGACAATAGATGGCGTTATAATTCTCGAGCGTTCTAGCTGTTACTAGATCCTTCGATATTCGTTCGACTATTCGTTATGGCGCTACTCTTACGGGCGTAACAATATATAAGCTATGTAAGAATCTTCTAAATTTCCAATAGAAAAATAAATTTATAAAATTGGAGAGTAAATAGTTCTTATATCAGTGATATCTAATAGTTTTAGCTCGTGGCTCATTTACATTTGTTTAGTTTCTCAAATACGAGTGGCTAGCTTGTCGAATGCGATTAGCTGTGGTGACAGAACTTCTTAATCTCATCGCTTTCAGCTCAGCATTTTGCATTAAAATCCATCAGTCAGCTTTTGCGTCAAAGACATTTGTAAGCATTGTAACGACCAATTGAGATTATCTCAAAAAAAAAGACGGCGAGTTATTTCGTAGTCGTGTCTGTTTTAGTGTGATAATTGGGGAGGTATTCTGGGGGGAAAACTCTATTCCCATGAAACTGAGACTCCGGACCTCGTGTTTTAGTGTGTAACATCTTCTTCTTGTTCTTCTATCTAGCGTTTTCCCGGTATAGTGGAAGGATCGGCTTTCCAACTTAAACTCCTTCATTTTATCCGGTCTTCGGCATCCTTCTGTAACCACTTCACAATAGTTGAGAATAAATTATTTAAACGAAAGCCCCCAAAATATAAGTGCAATTTCTTTCTCTTCTTCAACCCGTGTCCACCCAATGCTGAGTGTAGCTCTCTTCGAATGCACCCCATTCTCTTCTTGCCTTTCGCAATCCCTACCAGCCACTTTGACCAGGTAATCGGACCACCTCGTTGGCTGCCTGCCCACGTTAAGACGTCCAGTACGCGGTCTCCACTCCTGTACTTTTTGATGTACGATGATCAACTTTAAAGTAAGGGCCAAAATGTCGTGTTAGATGCCGCAAAAAAAGAAAAAGGACTCGGAGTGCTGATAAGCATATCGGCCAAGTTATGAACCCGCTCTACTTTTCACTCTCGGCGCGAAAAAACTCGACTACACATTCAATAATGTTGTTAATGAATTTTCATTCAACATTGCACACGACTGTTGTATGTACGTGTCTTATTAGGTGTAGCGACACAAAACTACAAGAACATGAATATCTATTTGTGTAACACGAAAGTGTGCCAAAATTAAAAGTAAACAACAAAGTGTACTTACGTTACATTGTTATCAGACATGTAAATATGTGTATTCGATATCCGGCAGTACATATTTCATTATTATCTGTTATTATTGTTATTATTAGATTGCTATTTGTGCCAATTTGGATGTCGAAGACTGAACTACCATTATATTTATAACAATCTGACGTGTAATGGGAACTAAGTCGAACTAGGAGGAGTTTCAGGAATCCTCGTGGCCTAAAGGAAAAGACGTCCGGTGCATTCGTATCTAGCGATGCACCAGTATTCGAATCCCGCTGTTAAATACCAATTTTTCTAATGTAATACGCACTTGACAAATGTTCTCGATTGACTTCCACGGTGAAGGAATAACATCGTGTAATAAAAATCAAACCCGCAAAATTACCGGTGGTAGGACGTCTTGTGAGTCTGCACGGGTAGGTACCACCTATACCAGCCTGTTCTGCCGTGAACGTTACGGTTATATACGGTATACGTTTCGGTTTGAGGGATGGGGCAGCCGTTGTACAGTTCAAAGTGAGACCCTTAGATCTCATGTCTCAAGGTGGGGTGGCGGCATTTACGTTGTAGATGTCTATGGGCTCCGGCAACTACTTACACCAGGTGGTCCGTGAGCACGTTAATCCAAATAACCAATAAGAAAAAAAGAATATAAAAAAATAGTTTTAGTGAGCTCATATTTTGTGAATCTGAAACTTAAATACATAACAGTCTTATAAAGAGACCGACCTTACCGCGCATAAGCTGATTTGTAACTATGTTACATTTTGCGATGTTATATTGCTGGTAATGCCAGTTTATATAATATACCGAATAAATTACACTATTATTTTGTCCAGTTTTTGTCAAACATTACCAGTTTTTAATCACCGTTGCATTGTTCACGACTTAATTGTTTCCATGATGTTCCTGGATCATTAGTTCGCTGGTTCGATATCAGATGGCCTTAACGGTGGCAAAGCGGTGTGTACATTGTAAATTCTATACGATAATACTCGGTGGTGGAGCATGGGTATATCAACGGTGATAAAAAAAAAGATGTGTGGTGTCGTGGGATACCGGATAGGAACGAAGTTCCTTATTTTAAGTTCTAAATTTTAAGTTCTATTCGAGGTATAAAGAAAATAATTATTCGGGTATACATTTTTTATTATGATTTTTTTATTTATAAAAAAAATACTACTTTACAAAGTTATCAATGATGTTCACAATGATTCATAAAAATATATATAATAATAATATACAAAGAAACAGCTACTTATATGAATAATAATAATAACCATCATCACGTAGACTATACATTAGACACTGTATAGCCATCATACTAGACTATACTAGACTACTATAGATATAATAAAAATCTTACGTTACGGACGTTATTTCCCGGTTAGGGTACCCCTCCGCATCGTCCCACAAGGAACTTCGTTCCACAAACAATCAAAAATTTCTGTATCCATTCCCACAGGAAACCTCCACCTCCGCCAAAGAAGATCTTCGAATATCTGAACAAGCACGTGGTGGGGCAGGAATACGCCAAGAAGGTGCTCTCGGTGGCCGTGTACAATCACTACAAACGCATCTACAACAACGTGACGAGCGGAACTCCGAACGACTCCCATCACCCGCTGCATCACACTCACAGAGGTAATGTTATAGTAGCCACTGTTCTCATAACAGATGCCATCCCAAACTGGTCTCTCAGTTCTGCTGTACTGGAGCCGAGTGTCGGGCTAGTGGAGTCCACAGATGCTGGCGTTCTTTATTTATTTTTTATTTTTGAGATGAGTGGACGAGCTCACAGCCCACCTGGTGTTAATTGGTTACTGAAGCCCATAGACATCTACAACGTAGATGTGCCACCCACCTTAAGTTATAAGTTCTAAGATCTCAGTATAGTTACAACGGCTACCCCACCCTTCAAACCGAAACGTATTACTTAATTAATTTGCGTAATCACTGGTGGTAGGACCTCTTGTGAGTCCGCACGGGTAGGTACTTGTCTATTTCTGCCGTGAAGCAGTAATGCGTTTCTATTTGAAGGAAGGCGCAGCCGTTGTAACTATACTGAGACCTTAGAACTTATATCTTAAGGTAGGTAGCGGCATCTACATTGTAGATGTCTATGGGCTCCGGTAACCACTTAACATCGGGTGGGCCGTGAGCTCGTCAAAGCAATAAATAAAAAAATACTAAACTCGGAACATTTCAGTTTTCTGCCGACGGTACACGTACATGGAAATACGAAAACTCGTAAAAGAATCATCAGCACTCACCGTTTGGAAGAGCACAGAACAGTACAAATATTGTTTAAATCAGCGGTCGGGGAACTTTTTTAATTATTACCCCAAAATATTTTTGTCTAAGTTGATATTACCCCATGGCGAAAAACAAAAAAAAAACGAAATCGCTTCTTTTTAGCATCTTTCACATTATAGCCCCCATGATAATTTTGAAAAGAAAACAATAACTAAAAATTTAACGATTCTAAAGAAGTTTCACTTCAATATATACTTTTTACTCGCAAAAGTTTCATTTTTACCCCATTAGGGGTTATTTACCCCGGTTCCCCGACCGCTGGTTTGAATCGAATTTTCACCTCTCCGGGACAAGAGTTGTTTTTTCTTTGTCATTCGTTCGTTCTATTTAAGATTGCATTAGTCTTCCGCCTTACGACCTCTCTTAGATATGCTTTATTTGGCAGTATGTTTCATAATATTTTCCGGGTTGACTTGCCATGTTGAATGAATGCGGCTTAGAGATGGCCACTATGTTTATGTTACACCTTGAAATAGAAGGTCTACTTTTGAATAACTTTTGAATAAATTCTGCATGTATAATATATGTTTGATACTCGGAAATTATTTAGATGAATTGTGTGACATCACTATTAAGGGGATTCCTGTATGTTAGAATTTTTTATTTTTTTCTTGGTATTATCCGTCTGTTGATTTTGAGTCATATTTGCGTAACGTGTATGGCTTATATTGTGAACAGTATAGGTAAGAGCTTGTTCACATAGATAATATACATAAATTAATTATAGGTAAGCAACTTAAGCATCCAACAAAAATGTTTACGGGCGTCGGCCACTAGATGGCTTCGCTTCGATTAGTTTCCCATTGCTCCTGTTGATGGCAGTAACAAATTACCTATCCTATATTTTATTAAGGATTTTTAGAAAGCACTAATTGATAAAAAAAATTATTAATTATATGGGTGGATGAGCTCACAGCCCACCTGGTGTTAAGTGGTTACTGGAGCCCATAGACATTTACAACGCAAATGCGCCACCCACCATGAGATATAAGTTTTAAGGTCTCAGTGTAGTTACAACGGCTGCCCCATGGGCCCCACCCTTCAAATCGAAACGCATTACTGCTTCACGGAACAAATAGGAGGGGTGGTGGTACCTACCCGTGCGGACTCACATGAGGTCCTACCACCACTAAAGAATTTAATCAATTTGTCTATAACAAATAAAGACTTGTAAGGTTTTTTTTCTGTTTTAGTAACACAATAATTAAATGCCTTAACTTTAACAACATATACGTTTAGGGGCATCCGCTACAAGATGTCGGTAGTTTCCATACAAAAAAAAATATTTGTCTTAAAGTATCGTAGTTTCAGGGCCCTGCTTGTTAATCTGAAGTCAAACAATAATTAAATTTGGAAAAATTTTTCACGCCTTTATAAATTGTATTAGCCAAGATCTATAGATTTTCATGGAACATCTAAATAAAAACCATTCCTTTTTAAACGCTTTATATTAGCTTCATTTGTATGTATGTTTGTATGTTTGTAACTGACTCCTTTAGACGCGATTTTGACCCACTTTAAACGGCCAGAGATCATTCAAACTGTAGATTTATCGAGGACCGATGACAACTCAATATTTAAAAAACATATTGAAAAAATTGAAATTCAACTAAAAAATGAAAACTAAATAATTTATTTTTTAAATTGCTTAAAATGTTTTTCATTTTGTAGAGCGACAATGTTTACAATTAGCGACAATGTAAACATTTGTTATTGCGTGCGGAATTAAAAAAAGTAAAATCCCGTTTTCCTGACGAAATTGAAATGGATATGGTTCTCGTTCTCGTCTTGAGTTAGTTCGTTGAGTTGAGTTACCGTGCGAAACCCGTGAAAGTGTGAATAATCAGCCGAGAGCGTTCACGGTCCGCTGCCCGTGACCTAACCTTAACAGCTTTTTTGTATGTATTTTCGCAAATTCCCCAATTTCGGCTCGGAAATTCTGATACTACGAATCTCAGATTGCGATGTTTATAAATCGCACCTTTAGAACTATAGAGACACAACAAAGGTTTCAGACTTTACTGGTGGTAGGAACTCTTGTGAGTCCGCGCGGGTAAGGTACCCTGCCTATTTCTGCCGTGAAGCAGCAATGCGTTTCGGTTTGAAGGGTGGGGTAGCCGTTGTAACTATACTTGAGACCTTAGAACTTATATCTCAAGGTGGATGGCGCATTTACGTTGTAGATGTCTATGTGCTCTAGTAACCACTTAAGAGGGGCTGTGAGATCGTCCACCCACGTAAGCAAAAAAAAAATTACAAAAAATGTGTTTTTTGGAAATCATGGAATAATGTTTTCAAACCGAGAATAAGTAGAGGAAGGGGACGGAGTGAAAGAGACCGATGGATAAGTTTGTCCCTTTATAAACTACTTTTGGTCATTTGATCATTAATAACCGCTGAACAGGGTCGTTCTAGGTCCATTTTTAAATTAAAGTCGCAGTCCAACTTTCGAAATGGGTCTCTATAATTCTAAAGGTGCGATGTGTCGAGATGTCAGAAAGGTATCATCCCCACGTTGTGAATCGGTTCGTCTTACATTATCAAGAAACATGTGTCTATTTCTGATGACAATAGTATGGATCGGGTCAAACGACCAATTTGTATAGTTATTGGATAACTTACCGCGTTTCGGCGGCCATGCTCACACTCCACCTTTAGGACATTGTATTATTTGGCGCCGTATTTACCTTCACTCCTATGGTACGTTGGTATATGCCAGAAGTAAACCCTCTCTGTGAGTTTGCCCGGCTGTACCTCTAGCGTTTCTTGGTGTTCCATAGTCCTTTTTAACCGACTTTAAAGAAGGAGGAGGTTCTCAATTCGACTGTATGTTTTTTTTATGTTTGTTACCTCATATCTTTTGACTGGGTGAATCGATTTTGATGATTCTTTTTTTATTAGAAAGCTGACGAGATGGTCCCAATATCACAACAACCGATTTCGATGATTATTGTTTTTAGTGTATATTAATTTGTTTTGGAATATATATTTTTTTCTATTTGAAGTCGGTTTTTGTTAAAGCATGTCTACTTACAACTATTGTCTGTCTTGGAATTCATCAAAAATTTATAATCTTGGTGAGCATGAAGTAGACAAATGCCTCTGCAGTTGCGTGGTGGTACATTATATTTAAATATAACATGGACATGCTACAGACACACAGGATGATAGTACTGCTACTAGCCCAGCTTGGTAGGTCCTTGCATTAGTTTATCTGATTTAATCTGCATGAGAATTTATGAACAAGATTATCGAGAAAGGAACACATAATTATGCAAAATTTCACAACAGCACGACGCATCATTTTAATTCCTCTGACCTGCTTTCTTCAAGGAAAGGGATTTAATATTCTTCATATGTGTACACGCGCGAGATGTTTTCCTTCTTCACGATATTGTCGGCGTTTAAATCATTGCGGCATTGTCGTGAAACGAATTCTGTTTATGGTGATTTTTGGATGCGTGCTGTGAATTTAAATGTTGTAGTAACCTATATTCACACAATGAGTCCCAACTGTTTGATGTGCTATTGCTACAATAGTTGGCTTTTTGTTGATTTAGAAAAACGATCTTTTTTTAATTGCCTATGAATCTATACTAATATATAAATCTACAGTGGTTTTTACGGATGTTCCGTTATAACTACTGAACCATGCATCCCATTGACTTGAAACTTGGTATCCGTGTAGAAAATACATGTACTTAATGGATAGGCTAATATTTATATGAGTGTTGGACTCCCACCAGTTGCGGGGGCGTTAATGATGAGAATATTTGTGGGGGTGAGAAATAATAATGTTATTTTTAAATGCCCAGCGAAGCGGACGGGTACAGCTTGTAATGTATATGGGATTAATTCGAGTCCGTATGGTAAAAAAACACGTGATCGCATCATCTTGAATAATTCCAAAACAGTCCCTATGAAAGATATGACACAAATGAGTGAAATATTAGTTCTTTCACAGATTCGCGAGATTTGGAATTTCGCGGATAATCTGAACGGTTTTGTTCTGTATAGAATGAAAAGGGAGCTTTAGACCATTGGTGCAGCACTCCATACGAGTGCGGACGTGTGTTTTGTAAAGCGTAAACTTGTCATAGTGTGAAATACCGCTTCGAGTCTTATTCTGGCGCGATCTTACCTAATTAAAATAGTACAATAAACCTAACAACGTTGATCTATTATTAATAAGCTGTCCCATGAGAATGCTAGTGAAATTAACGTTGCGTCCATGACTATAAACAGCCCAGGAATCAATGTGAGGTAGTTTCAACGAAAAGGGCCTCTTGAGGTCATAAGGTTTTATTTGCATCGGGTTTGATATTAAAAACTAAAGACGCGTGGTTTGTGTAGACTTTATAGATTTTTATGTTTTATTTATGTGGATAGAGTATTAATAGTAAATTATACAAATATCATTAAACTGGGGTCTTATATTTATTCGTAACTAGCGACCCGCCCTCGCTTCGCTTCAGAAACATTAAAACACACATGAAACAAAACAAAAAAAATTAAAAAAGTAGCCTATGTTCATCAGGGACAATGTCGGCTTCTAATGGAAAAATACTTTTTCAAATCGGTCCAGTAGTTTCGGAGCCTATTCGAAACAAACAAACAAACAAATCTTTCCTCTTTATAATATTAGTATAGATAGGTATTAAAATTCCTGTGTTTATCTTATTCCAGAGAGTTTCAAACTACGACTATAATGACTCGGCAATAGTGTACAGCCAACGTTGTACTACTAGATATTACGACAAGAAAATATGGGGTGGCGAGACTCAGTACGTAGGCTGTATCGGGCTATCTCACCCGTCGCTTGCGACGAAGGGTTCGGCGAGTAAACTAACCCACAGACACAGCCCACTGAGCTTCTCGCCGGATCTTCTCAGTGGGTCGCGTTTCCGATCCGGTGGTAGATTCTGTGAAGCACTGCTCTTGCTAGGGCCAATGTTAGCAACGTCTTCTGGTTTGAGCCCCGAGAGCTCACCTACATGTTAGGGTTACGCTAACATAGCCTCTCAAGGCTATCAGTTCAGGTATAAAAAAAAGCTATCTCACACTATCACGGTGTTCGATCGGTATCTATCTCGGCTGAGATCGGACTCTCGGCTAAGAGAGGTGTGGGGTACTTAGGTGGGAGTGGTGGGATGGCGTTCCTGCAATAACCAGGTGGGTGTATTTGTTACAGATCTACTACATTTGGGTCACGGAGGCAGCGGCGGTGGAGCGGAAGTATTGGAAAGGCAACACCATGACATCAAACTGGACAAAAGCAACGTACTACTCTTGGGACCCACCGGATGCGGTGAGTTTATCCAAGATATAGTACATGATTCTAATAATAATAATATCAGAATTAATACAGAAATACAGATCACGCAGGTTCTATACGGTATACACATTTAAATATATACATATATAGGTAATAAACACCCAGAAGAAGAGTAAACAAACCTGTTCATCACACGAATGTTTGCGCGATGTGGGCATCGAACCCACGACCCTCAGCGCAACAGCCAGGGACGCTAAGTACTGCCCCACCGAGTCAGTCTTTAATTAGGAAACTTGAAGCTGAAGGAGCTTTGGGCTTGGAGCTTGGAGCTTTGAGCTGCCTTCCGTGGAACTGCGTTTTGTTACACCGAACATCCAAAAATGCTACTCACTTCTGTAACGAGACATCCCCCGTCTTCAGGTCAAAAATAATAAGGCTATTCTTAATTCAATTTTGTTGTGAACGAGCCGAGACCACGGTCATCTACATAGGCAAATATTGATCCTCTGAATGCGACCTTCAGATTATACAATTTTGGATGTCTTTATTATCTTTGTTTTTGTTACATTTAAATGAAAGAAACTTTAAATGTCAGCCCAAGGATTTCGCAACGCATAGCCAAAAGTCACGTCTAATAATTAAATTCAGTCATTGTCTACAGTGAGGTGCACCAAATGTAGAACAGGCTAAATTATTACGCTAAAGTGTGACATTGTATTTATTTATTTGTCTAAACTCAATACCCATTTGTTGCGACGACACGAACTCCACCTACCGTACGTGTCTGGTACTACGCCAAAAGCTTCGTGCAAAACTCTTCGTAAGGGGTCTGGTTTACGATACGCTTGTACTACCCTCAGACACAGCCCACTGCGTTTCTCGACGGATCTTCTCAGTGGGTCGCGTTTCCGATTCGGTGGTAGATTCTGTGAAGCTCTTGCTAGGGTTCGTGCTAGCAACGTCGTCAGGTTTGAGCCCGTGAGCTCACCTACTAGTTAAGGTTACGCTGATATAGCCTCTCAAGGCTCTCAGCTTTGGGAGGAATAAAAAAAAAAAGATACGCTTGGCAACGATTATGATCAAACAGAAGAAAACAACAGGTCTTGAAGTGGAGGGCTTTTTTCTTCCTTCTGTAAATAAGAAACTCATAATTGTCCCGTAGCACAAAAACAGGCAGGATGATGGTACCCACTCATTTGGCGTCATAATACGCCTGTAAAACCTTCTCCTGTAAAACTTTCTCCTCTTGATTTGAAGTCTGTTAACAGACGAAAGATTCTTCTCTTCTAAGTCGTGTACTTAATTGCTGAAGGTCGTGTCCTTAAAAGTCCTTCGTGGATTTTTGTACAATCATCTTCCATTTCGTACGGTTTTCGGTTTCCCTCAGGGCGATTGTAAGGGAGAGTCCGGTGAACGCGGCTACTTGATCCGACCAACGGCTTGTGACCGGCCGGGGTGTCTCCCCTTAACCTTTAAATTACTAGATTACTCTTTAAATATTTGCTTAAGCAATAAAGGGTTGACATTAAAATGTTTGTAGTTTTGTTATTATAATAACAGAGATCGATGTTGTTTTAGCTCACTTGCGCAAAATTAATGTAACTGGTTTTAACATTAAAAGCACGTATGTACTATGTGCAACCGGTATTATATCGATATAAATGCTATTAACAAAATCGTTTCGGATTTTTATAGTCGATAGATTTAGGCTGGTTCTAAGTTGAGATTTTCTATTAGGAATACGGTCGCTTTTTTTCTTGATACGGTCAATGTCTTTAGATGGTCGGCGTTATATTTTTTTATTGCTTAGATGGGTGGACGAGCTCACAGCCCACCTTGTATTAAGTGGTTACTGGAGCCCATAGACATCTGCAACGTAGACGCGCCATCCACCTTGAGATACAAGTTCAGTATAGTTACAACGGCTGCCCCACCCTTCAAACCGAAACGCATTACTGCTTCACGGCAGAAATAGGCAGGGCGGTGGTACCTATCCGCGCGGACTCACAAGTGGTCCTACCACCAGTAATTACGCAAATTATATTTTTGCGGGTTTGATTTTTATTACACGATGTTATTCCTTCACCGTGGAAGTCAACCGTGAACATTTGTTGAGTACGTATTTCATTAGAAAAATTGGTACCCGCCTGCGGGATTCCAAAACCGTTGCATCGCTTCAACACGAATGCACCGGTGCATTACGTAATTTATTATTACGTAACGCATTATATGTAATACAATGTATTGTATGTAATTGTATTTTCAATTTTAATTGATGCAGTAATAATATTGTTCCTTTTCCGCATATTTTTAAATGCATCCGCGGTCGCAGGCTTGCCTGCCGAAAATTGTAAACAGAAAAGTGCTACTTACAACTTATTTTCTCGTTGCCTAACTTTAATATCGGTGATGCTATTAGATATAGAAGTCGCTCTTTTCTATTAATCAAGTCTTTTTACGTAACAGTTATATTTGAAAAAACACCACCCTGTATAAGAACAGTTACACTCCAAGCTCACGTGTTGATAAAATCTAAAATAGTTTCTTCGCTGAGATCATTATTTATCATCTAAACCGACGTTATGAGAAAGTAGATTTATCATTATCTTATTTATCATTATCACGTCCTGTAATTATATAATAGATTTAGGTAAATAGAAAAGTTCTTTAATTTTTATAATCACCCTTTTCAAACGCCGCTCTTTATTTTATAAGATCTAAATTTCTGGTAGTGTCGCCTGAATAAATTTTTTGCTTTGCGACAGTAACAAAAGAGAGAAAGATTAAAGGTTTCTTCAAGTATTTATATACATCTTTTAACCACACTGGTGGTATGACCACACACCGTAGCAACTGTTTAACAATAGTCCGTGTGCAGACTAGATAAATATAATTATAATTGTTAAGTTTGCTTGGTATTCAAACGTTGGTTTTATGCGAATCATTCAAGTAATAATGAAAGTTAAGCTTGTTGGTCGAGGTAGGGGAATACCCGAGGGCGAATATTAATCTTAAAACTTCGCGATTATAACCAGATATTAATTGCAAGGTAGGTATACTTCTAGTTACTGTCACCGTCCTATTTTGGTCACGAAGCAGTTGTGCCTTCCGGATTGAAGGATGGAAAAGCCGTTATGGAACATGGGTTCCGGTATTTACTTAGCACCACCCACGTCGTGAGCTAAACGGTCACCTCAAGCTACCTACAGCTGTTTCCTTATCTTATGGCCCCCGTAGCAGCATCTACCATATATATCACCACATATCCTCCATATATTCTCCATTTTAATTCCTTGGCTTGCTAATTCTAGGCCTAGCATGTCTTATATTTGATTAATGTTTTTGAGCACAACTAAATCTAGCAATTGGAATACTTTGCAGTGACGATAATTGTACCATCTTAATTTTTTTTGATTGCCTTTGTAGGCAGACGGGCATACGGCCCACCTGATGGAGAGTGGTTACCGTCGCCCATGGACTTCAGCAATGCCAGGGACAGAGCCAAGCCGCTGCCTACCCGCAAAATTATAACTGGTGGTAGGACGTCTTGTGAGTCTGCACGGGTAGGTACCACCACCCTGCATGTTTCTGCCGTGAAGCAGTAATGCGTTTCGGTTTGAAGGGTGGGGCAGCCGTTGTAGCTATACTTAAGACCTTAGAACTCATATCTCAAAGTGGGTGGCATTTACGTTGTAGATGTCTATGGGCTCCGTTAACCACTTAACACCAGGTGGGCTGTGAGCTCGTCCACCCAACTATGCAATAAAAAAAAATACAGATTCTAATATTTTTTTTTTTAATGGAGGTCTCAATTATATTATAAATCAATTATTAAAGACTTTTATTTCAAAATTATCTCGCAAGACATATATTATTTATAAAACATTAAACCTAAATCTATACTTCTATATAAATCTACAGTGATTTTTACGGATGTTCTATTATAACTACTGAACCATGGACCCGATTGACTTGAAACTTGGTGTCCATGTAGGAAATACATGTACTTAATGGATAGGCTAATATTTATATGAGTGTTGGACTCCCTACACCAGTTGCGGGGGCGTTAATGATGAGAATCTTTGTGGGGGTGAGAAATAATAATTTTAATTTTAAATGCCCAGCGAAGCGGACGGGTACAGCTAGTACGAATATAAATGTCTAATTAGAGTTGAATTCATAGACACATGAAGTAATGCCGTTAACGTGAGCAGCTTATGTCGCATTCACGAATATCTACCATGCGTCAAGTCAAGTAATGAGCCATTTCGAACTCATACACGTGCAATAGCCTCGTTTAAATTTACTATTATATTTTAAACGAAATTGAGAAATGTTTCGCTCGTGTATTGTTTGTTGAGATCGAGTGCTGAATATTAAAAAGGTTTTACGAATTTATACTCGTTTTTTTTGGTAAATGTTGTTGCGAGCTGTTGAGAGTCAGCAGATATGGACTTTTTGGACGTTTTGTAATTTGCTAATACATGTGAATTAATTTAAAATGACTATTTTAAAAACATATAATGACAAACATTTGCCAACGGACTCCGGACAAACTTGGGCCGTCAGCGCGTTATATTGACATAGTAGAACGCCTAACATTTATACACTCGCTTGGTTACGCGGGAATAACCTAGGTTACCAGCTTAGGTAGGAAAAAAGTTAATACAGAATTTAACAAATACGATAACAGCTATATAAAAGTGCGTGTGAATTCAGTCTGTGTGTAGATTTGTGGCGGGTGGCCATCATACAACACAAGATATTTGACAGATACCTGAATCTCGCATACGACCTTTTCAAGATTTTTTTGCATAATATATACAAGTTCTGAACAATAACATCTGAACCGCCGGTCTACAGAGCAATATCACCAGCTCGGTGGAAGATCTTCCCTACGTCGTTATTTGTAATACCACCATTTTGATCTTTAGGCCAACCTAATCCTGAGTTCCTAATTTGGCCCTTAAAGCAATTGTGCGTGTTGTCGGTAGAGTGGGACTGCCGTTTTATTTCAAATAAGGCTTTGACCTCATGTCCGAAGATCAGTGACGGCTCATGTCGTGATAAAAGGCGCTAGAATATCGACGTATACATAATTGGTAATAGGAAGGACAGTGATACGAAAAGTGTTTTCCTTTAGTTTGTCCATCTGTCCTCCAGGTAAGACGCTGTTAGCACAAACGATAGCCCAATGCCTGGACGTGCCGTTCGCGATCTGCGACTGCACCACGCTGACGCAGGCCGGCTACGTCGGCGAGGACATCGAGAGCGTCATCGCCAAACTGCTGCAGGACGCTAACTTCAAGTACGTTGCCCAGTCTCTGCTCTCTGGGGAGTACTCTGAGGAATTGTTCGAGATGATACCGTCATCTCGTTTTTACTATCGCACCGCCCGCCACTGGAGTAGGGTTCATCCATACTACCTGGAAACACTGCGGTCATCCACAGTGCGATTCCAGAGGTCTTTTTTGCCACGTACCATCCGGCTATGGAATGAGCTCCCCTCCACGGTGTTTCCCGAGCGCTATGACATGTCCTTCTTCAAACGAGGCTTGTAGAGAGTATAAAGTGGTAGGCAGCGGCTTGGCTCTGCCCCTGGCATTGCTGAAGTCCATGGGCGACGGTAACCACTCACCATCAGGTGGGCCGTGCGCTCGTCTGCTTACAAGGGCAATAAAAAAAAGTCTGTCCCTCTATGTCCCTGTCTGGTGGCTCTGGTTCGAGTTTATAAGCTGTTTGATACCCGGGTCCTGGGTATATACTGGTCCCAGGACAAAGTCGTCCTAGAACTGTAACTATACTGAGACCTTAGAACTTATATCTCAAGGTGGGTGGCGCATTTAGGTTGTGGGCATGTCTATGGGTTCCGGTAACCACTTAACACCAGGGTGGGCTGTGAGCTCGTCCACCCATCTAAGCAATAAAAAAAAGATGACGTTCAATGTTTTATTGTGAGTGAACTTTTTTAGGAATTCTTGCAAATCTGTCAGTTCATATTATGTAGCTCCAGTGTCTGTGCCGTGACGAGATGTTTCGTTGTTTCAGCGTGGAGCGAGCTCAAACGGGGATAGTGTTCCTGGACGAGGTCGACAAAATCGGTGCCGTCCCGGGAATACATCAGCTCAGGGATGTCGGAGGTACGGCTACAAGCTATACAAGTCTCCCTGCAAGTTTCTATGAATCATCTTGAACCTAATCACGATATGAAATATCATTGATGCCCCTTCAGTTATGCAAATATCCCTACCAGCTCACGGAATATCATCGATGTTCCTTCAGTTAAGGCTGTTGTATTCTTTGAGCACTGCTGCTTGAGATACAGGTTTTATCACCTAGTTCGAGCACAGATGCAAATTATGATCGTGTTTGTACTTCTAATATAAATAAATATATACAAAGTTGTGTAAAAATATTATTAAATGAATTGTGCTGGAAAATTTGGACAGGTTCGGGAGTGACAGATGGTCCACTTTTTTTTTTAGTGAGCTCGTGGGGCTCAACCGGAGAGTTGCTAACGGACATACAAAATTCATGTGAATTAAAATTAGAATAAAAATTAATATGCAATTTCGAAAAGGGCATTTCTCTGAAAATGTAAAATGTTCAGGAAATGAAAAAAAACTGATTATTTTCTAAAGCAGTGTAAAATTTAAAATATTAACTTTTCAGATATATTTTAGTGTTAATTAGCAATTGAAAATTACTGGAATTATTATATAATGGGTGTAGGTAAGCCTCAAAACTACATGTATATGAAAAAACGTATTGGACAACATATGCGACATGTGCCCTTTTCGAAATTGCATATTCAAATGGTTCTCATAGCTATTCACCAGTCCTCGTGTAATTAAACAAAACGTTTCCTCCACGTGCGCAGGCGAGGGAGTGCAGCAAGGCATGCTGAAGATGCTGGAGGGCGCCGTGGTGTCGGTGCCGGAGAGGAACTCTCGCAAGTTGCGTGGCGACGCGCTCAACGTCGACACCACCAACATCCTGTTCGTGGCCAGCGGCGCCTACAACGGGCTGGACAGGTGCGCCCACCCCCGCCTCCAACCCCCCCCCTCTGCCCCGCGGTAGCGTGTGACCAGTGGCGGATTTGCAGTCTTGGCCGCCCTAGGCCCCAAGCCATCAGCCGCCCCTTTCTCAGCGTCCGCCTTTAGATTAATTCGCGAAGCAATTGCTCTTGAGTTGTTAGGTCTCCTTCGGAGGCGCTCGGGCAGTTGTCAGCAAATCCCACCCGTCCTGGCTGAGCCTTTGCTCGTCCACCTGTCCTGGTGAAACTGGAAAGGCCTCCGGGCCACCAGTAATCTTTCAATCACAAAAAAAAGCATCCACCATATAGACTACATAATGAAATTACTTTATTGCCAATTTTTATCTAAATAGATTTAGAAATTTAGGAAAAAAATAGTTTTATTTCGCAAGAATATGGTACATATGTTGTTACAACTAATTATTTGCTCTAACATACTCTGCCAACTTGGCATACTTGGTTATGATAACTTTTACACGAGTGTTATCAACTTTCAACACTTCATTGCGAGTTACATGTTTGAATATCTAATTAAACATAATTAACTTGTACGGAGCTACTTGTTGTTGCAAGTGCGGGTGGGAAGTGTGGGTAAAAGTGACCATAAGTTTAGTATAATAAATAATAATAATAATAAAAGCTGCAAATTTCTAATATTAATAATAAAAAATTAATAATAATAATTTATTTATTTTCTACATAAACTTTTAAATCATGACTTAGAATACTATTTACATATTTAACAAATTGAGAGATTACGTAGATGGCATCAACAATATAAAATTAACCAATGATCCTCGCACTAGGCATAGTCTGTATCGTGAGGACCAAAATGCGACTTACTATGTATATAATTGACCTCAAAACGACATCACTATTATTAATAATTATTACGCTCAAAAACATGCGTTACAAAATTTAACATATAATGTAAACAAAATTGAGTAATAAAAAGAATACATCAAATGTTGCGCCGCCCCCCCCGCCCCGCTGTGGCGCGCGTGGTGACGTGTCGTGCGCGTTGCAGGCTGGTGCAGCGGCGCAACAACGAGAAGTACCTGGGGTTCGGCGCGGGCGGCGCGGGCGGCGGCGCGGGGCGGCGGGCGGCGCTGCAGGCCGCGCACAACGACGCCAGCCCGGCCGCCGCGCCGCAGGACGAGGACCGCGAGCGCGACGCCTGGCTGCGCAAGGTGCAGGCCAGGGACCTCATCGACTTCGGCATGATACCGGTCAGTGCGCACACATTTTATTTATTTATGTTTTGGTGCTTAGATGGGTGGACGAGTTCACAGCCCACCTGGTGTTAAGTAGTTACTGGAGCCTATAGACATCTACAACGTAAATGCGACACCCACCTTGAGATATAAGTTCTAAGGTCTTAAGTATAGTTACATCGGCTGTCCCACCCTTCAAACCGAAACACATTACTGCTTCACAACAGAAATAGGTAGGGCGGTGGTACCTACCCGTGCGGACTCACAAAGTCCTACCTTCAGTAAATACGCAAATTATAATTTTGCAGGCTTGATTTTTATTACACGATGTTATTATTCCTTCACCGTGGAAGTCAATCGTGAACATTTGTTGAGTACGTATTTCATTAGAAAAATTGGTACCCGCCTGCGGGATTCGAACACCGGTGCATCGCTCAACACGAACACCGGACGTGTTATCCGTTAGTCCACGACGAGTTCAGTATGTATGCAGTGCCGTGTTCCGCTTGCAGGAGTTTGTCGGGCGCTTCCCCGTGCTCGTGCCCTTCCACAGCCTCAGCCAGGACCTGCTGGTGCGGATCCTGACAGAACCTAAAAACGCGATGGTGAGCATTACACTACACAATGGGCGGCCAAAACTATTTCAATAGGCTGCTGATTACCAATATTTTTAATACGCTTTTTATTTTATTTTTTAATTTTCTAGATGTGTTGACAAGCTCACAGCCCACCTGGTGTTAAGTGGTTACTGGAGCCCATAGACATCTACAATATAAATGCGCCACACACCTTCAATTTTTATTTCGCTTTTATTACCTTCAGACGTATGTATGTTTGTAACGAAATCTTTGAACATGATTTTGATCCCCTTTGAAACATCGGATTAATTCGATATTTGGTATACTTATTAAGTACCGATGACAATTCAATATAAAAAAAAATAAAAAAAATTGAAATTCAACTAGAAAATTAAAAATAACCCCACGCTTTTTTTACAATAAAATAATTTTTTCTTACACTATTCTCAATTCAAATTTATTAAAATTTATTTTCTATTTTTTAGTTGGATTTTCTATAAAAGCGTATTTTGTTCGTTTTTTTTTTACTATTATTTATTAATGAAATATGTTTGACCCCTCTGTTAGTACGCAATGGTCGTCATGATTGGCTTTATTCAAATGGATACCTTAGCCTATATTTATGTATACTCTGTGTACAAACGTCAATTTTGTTAAGATCTTATTGATAACCTTAAAACACTAAGTGTAAAGGCAGTCGTGATTACTTGAATACTGGTAAAGCTTATAGTCTTAATGGTCGATGTGGTGTATAGCAATTTGAGAGTAATATTTAGAAATATTGAATTTAGTTATTGGAAAAAAAATAGAAATTTGTTATGAAATGAACCGTTGAGATTGATGAAAAGAACACCAGGTGAAAAGAACGTTAAAATTGTTCAGAGATGACGGCTTCACTTTCTGTATTATGCCACTGACGATGTCGCTACCTTGAAAAGTGATGACATTCTCATGTAATCATCAAGAAATTAACTACAGTGAATATATAAGAGATATTTAAATTAGTTTCTTAAATTGAAAATTAACCGTATTAAAAAAAATCAAATCAAATCAATGACCATTGATACTTAAATCTAATGTCTGAAGGCGAATTGTTTGTGTTGTCAAATGTGTTCTCATCATTCTCCTGCCCTTCTCCCAGTCACCTGGGGTCGGCGCAACATGTTTTCTCCTTCCATACTCTTCTATCATATACCACTCCCCTCTTACATAATATATCGTCTTTCACGCAATCTATCCATTTCTTCTTAGGTGTACCTCTTCCTCTATATCCTTCCACATTCATAGTTAACATTCTCTTATCAACTTCATTTTCATTTCGTCTAATCACATGTCCATTCCAAATCAAATCAAATCAAAAAAAAATTATTCAACATAAATGAAAGTACATAGTTGTTGAACGTCAAAACGAACTACCGCCAATTCACAAGAACTAGCCTCCGTCCTGAGAAGAATTGGCAAGAAACTCAGCGGGCATGTCTTTTTTTTTTTTTTTAAATATGAAGTAATTGTTTTTTTTTTTATATTAGATTTTTTACGCCTCATTGTCATCCCGAACGCGCACTCCTCAGCTTCTCTGTCACATGTGCCACTTTCAGACTTCCTCTAACATATTCATTCCGTATTCTATCCATTCTCGTTACTCCGTCTCCTCTAACATTCGCATCTCTGCTGCATGCAATCGTGTTCTATTGTTATAAAATAAAAAAATATGGTTAAGGATGTTACAGCATATAGACTGTAAGCGTACAACTGCTCACTGGGCGCCGCGCCCCCCCATGGCCCCCCGGTGCCGGAGTCGGGGGGGCGTGGTGCCCAGTGTGGGGCCGGTGTCCGACCGTTCTGTCGCGGTGCAGGTGGCGCAGTACAAGCTGCTGTTCGCGATGGACAAGTGCGAGCTGTCGTTCAGCGACGACGCGCTGCGGGCCGTCGCCGCGCTCGCCATGGAGCGACGCACCGGCGCGCGCGGCCTGCGGGCCATCATGGTGCGCCCCCCACACACACGCACACGACACACGACAACGCTCAGAAACATTCTACATATACCAGAACTTAAACTGTCGATCTCCATTGAATATGCAATTTCGAAAAGGACACATCTCTGAAAATGTAAAATGTTGAGGAAATAAAAAAAAACTGATTATTTTCTAAAGCAGTGTAAAATTTCAAATATTAACTTTTGAGGTATATTTTAGTGTTAATTAGTAAGCCTCAAAACTACATGTCTATGAAAAAACGTATTTGACAAAATATGCGACATGTGTCCTTTTCGAAATTACATATTCAATTATATTTTTAATACGCGATAATCATCGTCACGTCTTTTTGTGAAAATAAAGATGGCTTTGAGTGCCAACCGCTCAATTGTTGGTTTCGAGATAAATATAATAAACTAAGCCAATTTAAAAAAAAAAGAAACCATGTTTCGGTTGGGAGTGTTGAAAGAGCCTCACTTTTTTTATTGCTTAGATGAGTGGACGAGCTCACAGCCCATCTGGTGTGAAGTGGTTACTGGAGCCCATAGACATTTACGATGTAAATGCGCCACCCACCTTGAGATATAAGTTCTAAGGTTTCAAGTATAGTTACTGTCCGCGCGCGAGCTCCGAGGATTTTTAAGGAATGTTGACGTAATGAGCTAGTGTTGTAATTAGTCGATATTGCGCTATCGATACTAACACATCGTAAGCCTCCGTGCGAGTGTAAATTATAAAATAGTTATATGAGGGTATTATGTACTTGAAAAAGAAAAAACAATTGATCACGTATGAATTTCATTTAATGAACTGAGTTTTATTGAACAAAATGAACGTGAAATCTCATTAATTACTCTCGCAATCAGATTAATCAGTAGTTGAAGAATTTGATGTACTCTCCTCACATACTTCAATAATAAATGATTCGACAAAGTCCTCCATTAAGCCATCCTTTTGCCAGTAATATTCCTCTAATGCTAAGACATGTTTATTATGCTAGTGCTCGCCATTCCTTTTTCATCAAATCAAATAGCTATTTGTGCAAACAAAAATACTTATAAGTGTAAGACTATTTATATTAGAAATCACACGTAATTAACACTGCTATTGCAAAATTAAAATCAACGAGTCGGTAAGCGTACTCTCACGTTAAGGTCAACACTAGTACTGGGAGAGTGCGGGGTATGAAGACGACGGTCGGGCGCGGTGCACGCCCGCCCTTTTCCTCAGCCCCCGAATCCTCGGAGCTCGCGCGCGGAGTATACAACGGCTGCCCCACCCTTCAAACCGAAACGCATTACTGCTTCACGGCAGAAATAGGCAGGGCGGTGGTACCTACCCGTGCGAACTCACAAGAGGTCCTACCACCATTAATATAGGTAGCATTTGTTTCTTCACATTCCCGCTCGGCCGAGCTGGGCGCCGGCCACTGCAACTTTGTTACATTGCTTTCCAGGAAAGTCTTCTGCTGGAGATAATGTTCGAGATCCCGGGGTCGGAGATATCCAGCGTGCACGTGCACGAGGGCTGCGTGTCCCGCGGCGAGCCCCCCCGCACCGCGCGCCGCGCCGCCGCCCCCGCGCCCGCCCCGCGCGACCCGCACCTGCACGACTGGCCCGAGCTCAGGATCACCAACTGTACGTACTGCTACAACCCTAGTGTGAAGATCAGCATTCCCGAGCCCTCCGTCCTCCAAGCGAACAGTCAGTCTTCTCCCACCTCCCGACCTGAGTGGTCAATCTTCTCCTATCCTCTGACCTGAGCGGTCGACTCCCAACTCTTAATCAGTGCGCGTGACTGTCGTCGGACCTCCACAACTTTGTATTTCATTTTTTTAAATCTAAGTAGCGAAACCAGCTATAACAGTACGCACGCGCGGTGCAGCGTAAGACTTCTGGAAACTTGCAATTTACTTTGTAATGTCGTTTATACAAAAGTTTGTAAAGAAAAAAAAAATACAATTGTATTGCAAACTGTACGTTCTTTGAACTCCTGTACACAACAATACTTATCTCGTTTCCAGAACGACAGCGGAGCGAGGGTCGCGCGTGCCGCTCGACGTACGAGCCCACGGACCACATGGCGAATACCATTATAATTACTTCCTTCAGTAACAAATGGCTTCATTCACTCATTCTGCGGACACTTGAATGTTTCAATATCACCGCGGGGGCCGCTCGCCGTTGTAAGGCGCTGTTGTCCCGGACCCCGCGACCCAGCAATCCCCGGGGCTCGTCGGACCCCGCCTGCCGGCTATGGCGCGCGGCAACCAAAAGACAATTCTTCGGATGTCAATTGCAGTGATAGGTTTGAAACGCTCCTGCATACATATATATGTCTGAGACAAAACTGATATCGAATGAATGTGTTTTAACGATATAGAAATAAAGAAACATTTTCATTTGTATTAATTTCCAACTGCACCGATGTTGTCAGTTCGCAACAGCGACCGAGCCGTGAGCAAACCGACGACGTTCACGATCGAAATCACGTTCGTGGGTAGGTCATTATAAATAGATAGTTTTCAGGAAATCTTTAATGTGTGTAATGTAAAAAAATTATCTTGAACATAATTTGAAATTTCATCGCCCCACACTGTGCCGCAATGTGCCGCAGTGTGCCGCACTGTGCCGCTCTGTGCCAATTTATTGCTGAAAGATTTAATTTTTTCGTTTCGAGATCTCAACATCATAGTTATGTTTTAACCAATTTTTTTTCAGCAAAATATTAAGGATTCTTAATTTGTGATTAAATCGAAAAAAAAATAACGCATTTTTCGGATTCCTAATTGAGGTCCTCTACCTAAAAGGCTTCTTTAAAATGAGCAAAAAAAGTTTTGTTTTAATTGATTGCCAACCACAAAAAAAAATATTGAAAAAGTTTTGAAAACTAGGACTGTTATTGTTTGCTTTAGATTTAAACTATTGGTTAGGTGAGTCAGGTCCTCGTCTCGACGTCATGTAAATTACTGTAAATATTAAAAAAATAATGAAAATAGTAAAAAAAAACGGTTCTTAATATTAAGGTCTAAATAAATAGAAATGTTTGTAATGTTTTCCCGCGACCACAAGTACGACAGTTGTTGATAGACACAAAACTTAACTGAAAAATGCTTAGATTTATTTAAGTCGGCTACACTGTTTTGATTTTTGTTATGGTTTATACATTCATATTTTTTATTTATAAATTTAATTATAGAAGTTGTGATGTGATTATTAATGAGAGAGAGAGAGAATTTGTGAAAATCTCAAAAAGGTTTTTAACTATCTTGTGATAAATAGGTGTAATCACATTGCAGACACATTAAATAGTCTAAGTCTATTTTCCAATAAAATAAAAATAAGACAGTAGTTGACTTTGTTTTTATTTAAAACCTGTTATTTTTGAAGTGAAACTTCCTTATCGGCGTTGGAAAAAAATTTACCGTCACATTTTTCGGTTACGCGTCACATTTTTCCGTTACGCGCCATCTGTTTTGTATTCATGTCTATGATAATAAAATCCTTTTGTTTAAACTTTATCTAATTTAACTTTTTTGTATTCATGTCTATGATAATAAAATCCTTTTGTTTAAACTTTATCTAATTTAACTTTATTTAACCAATTTCTAGAAAGTTGCATGTAGATCATTTTTCGAAAAATAAGGCCATAAACAAGTTTCACTTCTTACGTGTGTACACTAGTACACGCACACATTTTTTTTTTTTTTCCGTTACGCGCCATCTGTTTTGTATTCATGTCTATGATAATAAAATCCTTTTGTTTAAACTTTATCTAATTTAACTTTTTTGTATTCATGTCTATGATAATAAAATCCTTTTGTTTAAACTTTATCTAATTTAACTTTATTTAACCAATTTCTAGAAAGTTGCATGTAGATCATTTTTCGAAAAATAAGGCCATAAACAAGTTTCACTTCTTACGTGTGTACACTAGTACACGCACACATTTTTTTGAAGTGAAACTTCCTTATCGGCGTTGGAAAAAAATTTACCGTCACATTTTTCGGTTACGCGTCACATTTTTCCGTTACGCGCCATCTGTTTTGTATTCATGTCTATGATAATAAAATCCTTTTGTTTAAACTTTATCTAATTTAACTTTTTTGTATTCATGTCTATGATAATAAAATCCTTTTGTTTAAACTTTATCGAATTTAACTTTATTTAACCAATTTCTAGAAAGTTGCATGTAGATCATTTTTCGAAAAATAAGGCCATAAAGAAGTTTCACTTCTTACGTGTGTACACTAGTACACGCACACATTTTTTTTTATATACAATGGGTTTTCTGGCCTTCACAGATTGCAAATATCAGATAATACTAAATAATCATGTACTATGCTACATTAGATTAGATAAGATAAGCTAATATATTATAATAACTGTTACATAATAAATTTGATCTACGAAACATTCCCAAATGTTAGAACCACTCCCCCCAACCCTCCACCCCCGTCCCCGCACACCCGCAGACCTCTACTTCCTTTCTGTGAAGACGGTTGGCATAGCAGACTATAGCTTATCGCACACAAAAACATAATTTTCAGATAATCTTTTCCACAAAGAGAGTTCTGGAAAAGATTTGGAAGGTATGTTACTTCGTACTCTTTTCACTCGTAACAACGCGGTGCTTCAAGAATACGACGTAGTTTCCACAATTGTTACTGTTACATAAACTTGTTTTAATAAGTTTCCAAATATATTATAAATTCTCAGTTTTTGGGTATTTTTCCAAAATCGATTTCCACACATTAGACTACAAAGTTTCTTTTCTCGCTGATCTTCTTATGGCTCTCTGTTTTAACGATATCCAATAGAATGTTGACCAAATCATAAACGTCTTGATAAGTGGTGTACAGAGCCGCCGGCGTCAAACGTATTACGTTCGGTTCCCTAAAATCCTGTACCACGCCTCTTTGTTTTAGGGCAATGCTTATTCTGTACGCGTCATCGTGCTCTAAGCAAACGTGCCCACCCCTTTTGGCGTCTTCTTTCACATTACCGACGGAAAAACCGTATTCAGATAATCTATTCTCGATCAAATACATCAAATAACCAGTTATATGCAGCGATTTCTTTCTAATATTGCTTATGCCTGCTTCTTTAAATATTCTTAAGGATCCTTCTAAAGTTGCCATTGAAAATATTGTGGGAGTCCCGATCTGCCATCCGCTAGCATTTTGCTGGTGATCAAATTCCTGATTGAGTTGAAACTGCGTGTGTGGTTTGTTCCCGTACCATCCAGTTAGCCCTGGGAGTAATTTGAAATGTTTCCTATTAATGTACAGAGCTGCCGACGAGCCGGGACCACCATTCAAGTACTTATAAGTGCACCAAATAGCGAAATCTGCGTCTAAAGCCTTTAAATCTATCTCAATAGCTCCGATTGCGTGACAAAAGTCCCACCCAATAAAGATGTTTCGTTCTTTGGCAGCTTTAGTGATTTTAGTCATGTCTAATATCTGAGCGCTTCTGTAATAAACTGCAGGCAGTAAAATGATGGCCACATCTTCAGTCATTGCTTCAATAATGTCATCCTCGGACATGAATTTTCCATCACGACTTTTGACCAGTTTAACCGCGTCTCTTGGGTTGAGTCCCTTTAGTCTTATTTGACCATCAACAGCGTATCGATCCGTCGGGAAATTAATATCGTCAACCAAAATCTTGTATTTTTCTGCGGTCGGCTTGTAGAAAGTGCTGATCGTCTGGTGTATATTAATGGTGGTGCAACCTGTTATACTGATTTCGTCAGGATCTGCTCCGACTAAGGGTGCCATGATGTCAGCCAAGAATTCGGAGTACAAGAAGTATTTTCCCTGATCGACGTTCCACATCTTGATGCCTTCGTCTTTCCATTTATTTAGAACTTCATAAAGAGTTTCTTCAGCATCTTTACAGGCAAGTCCGAGAGAGTTGCCGCACATGTAGATCGTACCCTGTTTTATGTAAAACCGTTGCCTGAAATGTCCCAATTGGTCGTTATTGTCCAGAAATTTTGGAAATTCTGGTCCGTCTTGATACTCGTACATATTATTAAACTTATAACGTATGTAAATGCGATGTTCCTGAAGTTCTTACTAGTTTCCGCAGCTGGTGAATCTTATTTATATGTAAAAAGCTTTCATACGCTGCAACGCTATCAGATAGAGGGAACAAATAAGGGGGTATTTGAAATTTAATAACTTGTAAAAGTCACATTGCTCTATTGCAGTGTCCATGTCTTGTAATTGACAAAATATATTTTTTGCCATTTATATATCGAAAAATGTTCGTATAGATACTAGAGGGACGCACATAGCAGCTTATCGCATCTCAGTGTGACTAGGAGTGCGCTCACTATCACTAACCTGTTAGCAATGTATGTAACATTGAAAATGTTTGTCAAACTAATGGAATGGGCTAATCGATAATCCAATTTGCCAAAAAATTCATAACAACACCATGAGCACCAGTATAAAATTAACAAGCGCAATTATATACCAAAGGCGTTTTTATGAAAACTTCATCCAAAATCAAAACCGAGGCTTCGTTGAGCTATTGCTATATACAGCCGTTGACTGAAATAAGTTTATCCATTTGATTGCTGAATATTATTTTTAGAAATGTGCCTAAAATGCCGTAGGTAGCTAAAATGCCGAGTAAAATATATGTAATATGTATTAAGACAAACTTTAATTACAATGATATCTACGGACAAGTTAAAACATTTACAGGCGCTCAAGACCGTGAGTTCAACTGTATTCGCAGCGAGGCACCGCAACTTTCCGTACAGTGGAAAGCTATCACGCTGCGTAGCGTCCTAACGGTTAAGATTTACAACAAACAGCTAACATTGGTTAAACCTGGTGGTAGGACCTCTTGTGAGTCCGCACGGGTAGGTACCAACATCTTGCGTATTTCTGACGTGAAGCAGTAATGCGTTTCGGTTAGAAGGGTGGGGTAGCCGTTGTAACGAACTATACTGAGACCTTACAATTATATCTCAAGGTGGGTGGCGCATTTATGTTGTAGATGTCTATGGGCTCCAGTAACCACTGAACACCAACCAGGTGGGCTGTGAGCTCGTCCACCCATCTAAGCAATAAAAAAAATTTCACGGTTCACGTAGTGTTCTGTTCAGTGGATATTGGAGCTGACGATCTCATCAACTTGACGCTGCCCAGAGAAATTCAGGGATCTGTCATATATCTTGTATTTTTTAAAGGTCCGAGGCCTTTCCAGTTTCACCAGGATAGGTTGGCTGAGCACGAGCTCAGCCAGAAGGGGTGGGATTAGCTAACAGGCGCCTAAGCGCCTCCGAAGTAGATTTAACAACTCGAGAGCAGCTGCTTCGCGAATAAATTTACTAACGGATCGGAATCGAGCGGCTTGGCTCTGCCCCTGGCATTGCTGAAGTCCATGGGCAACGGTAACCACTCACCATCAGGTGGGCCGTATGCTCGTCTGCCTGCAAGGGCAATAAAAAAAAAAAAAAAAATTATAAAAAAAAAAAAAAAAAAGATCCGGCGTGAAACTCAGCGGGCTGATGCATGGATTAGGTTGCACGTCGAAATCATTGCCGATATCGATGAGTACGGTTACCGGGGTCTCCAATCCTGCTCATAGCGTTAGACCTGAAAGAGTTTAATACAAGAGTTATTGGATCTGATGAATCCGTAAGGACGTGTCTAGGGCGTCGACGGTGGCTGGCTCCTGCGTGATCAGTTTTCGGGGAGTAGTCGGCGGTGACAACGACAAGGCGATTATTACGTCGAGCCTTGTTTTTTTTATTTTATTTTTATTGCTTAGATGGATGGACGAGCTCACAGCCCACCTGGTGTTAAGTGGTTACTGGAGCTCATAGACATCTACAACGTAAATGCGCCACCCACCTCGAGATATAAGTTCTAAGATCTCAGTCGAAGTAACGTTCTGACACCCAGAGTGACACCCAGATACTTTACCTTCCTGGCCGGTATGTGTTGGCCGAAGAGATCGGGGGTGTTAGATTACCACAACGAATTACGACAACTTCAAACCTAAGCAATATGATTCAAAAGTTTTTAGTTTCGTTATACCGATATAGAATTTGTACTCAAATAATATATTATCCGAGAATTCCGGCTATCTCGCAGGCGTTATTTCCCCCTACTTACATAGTATCAACGTTGTTTTAAAAATTCACGTAGTCATGAACATATTGTTTAACCCCTATCTATTCTGATCAAAAATATCCCATATTGAGTTACATTCCTTCAAATTCAATACATTATTGTCACCCTACTCAGACTCTGAGATATCATATCTCACTCATATCGACTCATATCGTATGATTAAAGCAATAAAAGTGATAGGTTGATTGCCAAAATTTATTTATATGTAATTTTACTTTTAGCAAGATTACTATAGCTACTTTATTTAGTACTCCGCCACGCTTAGAAATTTTACAGACTCCTTGCTTGTGGGAGCCTTCGAAGAAGTTTTGAAATACTTATCATAAAAGATTAGATACTTATTGTAAATAGAATTCTAATTTAAGTTTTATGCAATTTGGGTAATTTTAACGACTTAAACAGTATATTTTTGGATTTGTATTTACATTACGTATGTGGGGTTTTTTAATTGCTTAGCTGGGTGAATGAGCTTACGGCCCATCTGCTGTAAAGTGGTTACAAGAGCCCGTAGACTTCACTACTTGAGTGCGGCGATAACCAACCTTGATATGCGAGCTCTCAAGCTCTCAATTGTATTCTTTAAATGCTAACTCATCCTCACCCTGTTAACTCAAACCAAAAACTTTTTTAATTCACAGGATAGATCTGTTAATCATGGAGCTGTTTAAAAATCGTTTTAAAGCTTTAAACTCTTTCTTTTTTTTTAAACCTATTTGACTCGATTTTCACATTTTTTTATTATCAGTACTTACAGTCTAAATGGTACCTACACGATTTATGTTCTTAGCTTTAATTAAAGGCAAGAATTACTATTACAGATACGATTGCTTGGTGTCTAAATAATTTAGTTTCTATTTTATTTATTTACGAAATAAATTAGTGTCCACCCGGAATGCGAATATAACATTATAATGTTTAGGTATGTTTCAATTGTTGTTCCGAAATTATATCCTAAAATTATAATACAAATTATTATCATATTAATCAGCTCGATTATCATCGCTAGCTCGACTACTGGTGGTAGGACGTATTGTGCGTCCGCACGGGTCGGTACCACCACCCTGCCTATTTCTGTCGTGAATCAGTAATGCGTTTCGGTTAGAAGAGTGGGTCAGCCGTTGTACTATAAAAACTGAGACCTTAGAAGAACTCATGTCTCAAGGTGGGTTGCAGCGTTTAGATGTCTGTGGGTTCCGGTCAACACATAAAATCAAGTTTTTAAGTCCTGAACATCTGAAATATCGTGTAAAGGATCAGAATGGTTATTTATTCTACTAGTTATATGGTATGGGTATTCTATTTTGTAAACTAAATAATTGTACACCCTGTAACCCCGTTAATTATGTTTACGTAATGACGTAGCACCGTGAGTTAAGCCATTAATAAACGTGAAGCCTTGTTTAAAACATATAATCGTTCTTCTTATGAACTACTTAACGTGTTTGTTTAAGTCTTAGAACATTTATAAACATCTCGGAAAGAAAACACTACGTTTGTTTAATTTGAATGTTATTTAAACTCTATGGACCGCTCTATCCACGTTTTTGTTATCATTTGTCGTAATGCTTGGCTTCGGAAATATACGGAATTGAAATGTACGACAGAGATGTAAATAAGACTTCTGCCTATAATGATATCTACAGCTTTTTTTTTTATTGCTTAGATGGATGGACGAGCTCACAGCCCACCTGGTGTTATGTGGTTACTGGAGCCCATGAAAATCAACAACTCAAATGCGCCACCCACCCTAAGATCTCAGTATAGTTACAACGGCTACCTCACCCTTCAAACCGAAACGCGGTGGTACCTACCCGCGCGGACTCACAAGAGGTCCTACCACTAGTAAAATCTTAGTAAAAGCTTAACGACTTAAGCTAAATTCGTCAGCCGATTTATGATAAAAAAGATTAGTTTGATTCAAATTCTCATCGTAGGAACATAGGGGAGACCGGGGCAAGATGAAGTTCGGGGCAGGACGGGAAATAAGCTTTTGTCCATGAATGGTAATCGTGTTCGGACCGGTAACGGCGCCATTTGCACGAAATTCAGACTGCGCAAGTGCGTCCGAGCAAAGCGAACGTATTGGATCTCGTTTTTGCGTTGTATAGGAAAAAAACTGATTTTGCAAGTGTTCTTATCCGGTTTTTGGTTAACAAACTGATGTGCAGACATGTAAGTACTTGAATTAATATAATGTTTTAATCCTCAGCGTGTTGTAGTACTATAACACTTTAAATTCAGATTAGATTTTTGCGCCGGTAAGATTTAAGATTAGAATTGCTTCAACTTATTTGAATACATGTGGGTCGGGGCACAATGATCGGGGCATAACGGAATACTATCCCGTTTTGCCCCTTCCTTGTGGTTTAAATAATTTCTTCTGTGTACCCACTTACCTATCGATAGTATTGCAACCTGGTTAAGCAAGCGTCCATAGGCTACGGTAACCGCTTTCCATCAGGCGAACTGTAAGCTTCTTTGCTGACTTAGTGGTATAAAAAAGTATAAGTACATATTGTTGTAACTTCTACATAAGCAAGATATATCGTTGCTTTTCTCACAAAGTTTTTTTCTCAGATACAATGGTTTGGAACTATAAACGAAAAACAGATCGTGGCAAATGGGACCCTGAAGTTCTGGGTCTTATGGGTTCTTAATAACAGGATGGGGCTTCCTCGAGCCTCTGCTACATATGATGTTCCGCCGCCGTGTAAGAAAAGCTCGTGATAGTGTGGATGACGACACTGATTCCGGTAACTACTAAGTATGCAGGAAGCACGGTTAACCGGAAAATAACTTTGTGTAATAGCTTATCAGTTGGGTCAGCGAAATCATATAGATAGCCTACTTAATGAAGAAACCGACATGGCAGGAGAAGATTGGCGTAAAAAACGAATACACAAAGTTGGAAATAAGAAGATAAAAAGAACTGAAAACAAGCATCAAGCTAAAAGACTCGCCATAAAAATCGAATCGGAATATAGTTCATCTTAATTGGAGGACGGTGACTGGGCCTGCATCTATTGTGGTTACTTATACTACGAGTCAACCGAGAGTTGGGCTATCTGCAGTATTTGCCATGGTTGGGCACACGATTCCTGTGCCGAAGTAGATGAAGAAGACGACGAGGCACACATTTGTGAACGCTGTCTACCCGATTAAAATACGTACTCCTTTTGCCCCATAGCATTTCCCATCTTACCCCGTCCATGGGGCAAGACGGGAAATTCGCCACATTATCGTTAATCATTATTTGTCAAAAAACTTCTGTGATTTTGCTTGATAAAATTATTAATTTTAAGAAACAAATGTATAAGCGTTACTTATTTTCTTAAAGAATTTAATTAAACAGTATAATTGTCTTTGTACAGCGAGTTTTGTCTTAGCTATCTCATCTTGCCCCGGTCTCCCCTACATATTGCATTAAAAAAACCTATTTAATGTCTTCAATAATAGTTGTTTCATTTAATATGCGGTCTCCCCTTAATAATGTTTTTCAGTTGCTATGCAGATCACAATATCTAACACGTGAGAGCATATTTACTTGACGCTAATTCGTTTTTCTATTTTATTGCGTAATGTATACACACTGATAGTAATTTATACATATAAATAAAATTGGAGTGTCTGTTTGTAATATTGAAATAGCCTCTTTTTACTACATGCATATGAATATATATACGGTACATACACCAAAATATTTTTTTTACGATTTTTGTCTGTCTGTTTGTCTGTCTGTCTGTTTGTTCCGGCTAATCTCTGGAACGGCTGGACCGATTTTGACGGGACTTTCACTGATATGCTATGATAGCTGATGATATAAGGAGTAACTACTTTTTTTTAGACTAGCTTCGCCCCGCGGTTTCACACGCGGTACGAAAATCGCGGGACTCGGGTATCAATAATAAAATTTAATGTTTCCGGAGCGAAGCGAGGACGGGTCGCTAGTATATAATAAATATAATATATAATCCACAATAGGTCTATACCATGCGGTTCATGCCACCCATGATCGAACACTGTGGAGGAACGTCACATGTGGTCGCGATCCTCAGCAGTGAAGGAACTATGATGAAGAAGAATACATACTGACGTAAGAAATTATCCAACAAAATTGATTCATATTAGTCTTAGGTCTTTGCGGTAGGCAGCGGCTTGGCTCTGCCCCTGGCATTGCTGAAGTCCATGGGTGACGGTCACCACTCACCATCAGGGGGGCCACCCAAAGAGAAAGCTCGTCTGCCTACAAGCGTAATAAAAAAAAAATAAGGTAGGTACGTAGCGATGCTGTTACCCATGGCTACTGATCGAGTTATTTCATACCATTGTATTTAATACGAATTTCAACAAAAAAGAAATGCTACAGAAGCATGTTGATACTTTTTTGGTGAAGATGTAGTTTCTTATAGGACAAGCAGAAGGTGAAGAATAAAGAATTGAATCCGTGATTTCGGTATGAAAAGTTAAGCCACGTTCGGTGCGAAAACCACCTTTTGATATACGACGATGTTATTAAGGCCATGTTGGAGAAAGATAAATTTTTGACAACATCGGAGATTGCAAGGAGATTAAATCAGCCTCCAAACCATTTGGAATAAATGATCCGTATTAAAGTATTCAAGATGTGGCACCCCCACATTAATGAAGTCAAAATAATTTGGATTATCGATTCGGCATATGCACGTCTGTGCTTGGTCGGAATAATATCAAATCCTTCTTAGACCGGATGATAACTGAGGATGAAAAGTCAGTCCGACAGAAGCACCCGCCGCCTGCGGACGTGCTCATCGACCACTCAATCGCCCGGCCATTGTTCGCCTGGTTTTTATTGTTAGCCCGGCCTTTGTTCACCCGGCTTTTGTTCGTGGCACATCTGCCGACAAAGTGTGTTCCTGGAAGTGTTTGTTTTGTTTTGGTTTATTTTTGTTGTTTCCTTTTTTTTGTTGTTCTTTCTTTTTCCTGCAGTAATTGTGCCGCATCGCCACCTGTGTTCAATCGAACCGCTAAGTACCGAGAAGTTGGGGCCTCGCAAGGCGAGTGTGTTTAAGACCCGGGACAGCCCCACCTGGGTCAGACATCATGGAAGCTTTATTTACAGAATTCCTCCGACTTCGCCACCCTAAGCTCACTTCTGAGTTTCTGGCTTTCAAGGCCGATCATGCCGTGAGCCCTCTCGCGGATTCCGCCGTGCTCGTCACTCCCGCGTCGTACACCGCAGCGTCCGCCATGCCTGCCGCTCCCGCGTCGCCTATACTAGTGGGTAAAACTGCTGCGTCGTCCGCCGTGACCGCCGCTCCCCTGGCGCGATCATCCGCGGGTTCCGTAGGGTCCGACGGACGTCCTGCATCTGCCCGTAGGTCGCCTGCTCCCGAGCCTGCTGCCTCCTCGTCCTCCGACTCTGACTCGGACATGGAGGTCGACCTCGCCCCCGCCTCATCGACGGATGGATTCACCCTGGTAAAGGGTAAGAAGCGCGCTGCGGAATCCCGAGCTCCCGCGGCCGCTAAAATTAGTAAAGCCGCGAACGCGTCGCGCCCTCGCCCTCCGACTCCCGTCGCTCCCCCTGCCCGTGCCACACCGTCGCCGCGTCCAGTGGCACAAAATAAAACTCAGNAGGTGACACTTTACAAAACTTGCATAAGGCCCATCATGACTTACGCGAGTGTGGTGTTCGCTCACGCGGCCCGCACACACATAGACACCCTCCAATCCCTACAATCTCGCTTTTGCAGGTTAGCCGTCGGGGCTCCGTGGTTCGTGAGGAACGTTGACCTACACGACGACCTGGGCCTTGAATCAATCCAGAAATACATGAAGTCAGCGTCGGAACGGTACTTCGATAAGGCTATGCGTCATGATAATCGCCTTATCGTTGCCGCCGCTGACTACGCACCGAATCCTGATCATGCAGGAGCCAGTCACCGTCGACGCCCTAGACACGTCCTTACGGATCCATCAGATCCAATAACCTTTGCATTAGATGCCTTCAGCTCTAATACTAGGAGCAGGCTTAGGGACCTCAGTAACCGTACTCGTCGAACTCGACAAAGAGGTCGACGTGCAACCTAGCCCATGCATCAGCCCGCTGAGTTTCTCGCCGGATCTTCTCAGCGGGTCGCGATTCCGATCCGGTAGTAGATATCTTCGCGAAGCAATTGCTCTTGAGTTGTTAGGTCTCCTTCGGAGGCGCTCGGGCAGCTGTTAGCAAATCCCACCCCTCCTGGCTGAGCCTTTGCTCGCCCACCTGTCCTGGTGAAACTGGAAAGGCCTTCGGGCCACCAGTAATCTCTCAATCATAAAAAAAAAAAAAAAAAAAAGGATGGAAAGTGTACCTACGTGAAAAATATAAAGAAAAGGGTTTATTGTGACCCCAGAAAACAACCTTTCCAGTTCTAGATAAAATTTAAACCTAAAAAAAATCTTGTGAATATGGTTCAACATTTAACTAGATAATAATGAAAACATACTCTTTGAACCGGTTCAGAACACCAAACTATAAAACACCCAAAGAGAATGCAATCGCCATACTTCACTACGATATGTCTGTTTATGTCAGACAGAAAATTGTCAACACTGTAAACTAATCTACTGAATTGATTACTTATTCTATTCGGCTAAAGTTTTCTGTGGATTTTATAACCCAGCCAACAAACAGGTCCAAGCCCTGACCAGCGATAATTGTAACATGAAACGGCTATTCAGAATAACAAACCAAAATAGATATGTCTCCACCAGTAGAAGCAGTAAAGGAGCGTGTTGGCCTAGACCAGACTACGGTCCTATGGAGGTCCAAAGGTCGGTCATGATGAATGGCATAAAGGTGGCAGCCGCAAAACCGTTGGGCTCTCAAATTGCTGCTTGCACAATTATGTATCAGGTATGTATAGATGACTGGAAGTAGTACCTACGGCTCAATTGAAGCTTAGCTTTTAAATAGCGTCGACTTCGATCCACGAGGCTAATGTTTCTTAAGCAATGAATTATTAATTAATTAGCAATGAATGAATGAATTAATTACAGTTCGACTTGTCGTTTAATATCGAAAACGCTAACTACAACATTAGAAAATACGTTTTGCAATAAATGTAAGTACCGAGGGTAAATTACAGGCTTCCGATGTAGTAAAGATCAATATGAACGAATCGTTTTTGAGGTGAAACTGCTTTAGGCGTGTTGAGAGTAAAAATTAACTCGCCACAGATATGTTACGGCTAGAGAGAAAAGATACAATTTAGGAAGAGCGAGAGTGAGAAAATAGACAGAGCGTCTCGCGAACCACTCGACCGTGGAGAGAGGAGAAGGACAAAGCCAGCTAGGTCTTTTCTTTTATACACAGCATCCCCTATTACAAGAGAAATTTGATTTAAGGATGAAAAATGAAGAAAACCGCAATACTACACACCGCAAAAGAAGTTTCAATTCTTTCACGTGCACCAAGTTGCACACGCAGCATTTTTTTGTTTATAACTGCAGAAGTGTCATCTTTTTCAAGTCAAGATATTTCAATGATTCCCAGGCCGGTTCCCGTTACGAAATCGATGATCAGCTGGGCGCTTCGCACTTTATTCGAGCTGCCTCCTCGGCTACTGGCTGTGGGTACACATTCTTTGCGAAAATGCGTTATCTACAACAAAACGGAGGGAGCATCACTTGCTCGAGCGACAGGCAGAATATATCTTTTACGTTGCGATGTCCCCCCACTGTCTTCAGCGAGCTCAAGAATTATCTACTGGACGTTGCTTCCAGGTTAATATACTTCTCAATCATTGAATACGAGCGTACCTCCCATCTGGTACGGTCACCGCGCTCTACGGCCACTAGCAATCTATGGGGTGGTTCCAAGCAGTTATTTGCCGCCAGCACTGCATTTTAATTTCGGAATTATGATTTTACTCATTGATCCAATTCCCATTTATACAATTTTAATAAAAGTTATTGTTGGTAAATGCTAATACCAAAGTTAATACCGCCAATAATTGACAATATTCACCTAAAATAACTTCTATTCACTCTGATTCGTCTTTGTCAAGATGCTGCTACCATCCGTGGGAAATAAAAGATCGGAAAACTCTTATTCGTGAAGACTTAGTTCGAATTCATCCTGAACAGAGAGTGATTGATCTAGTCCAAAAGGCTTGCTGGACTGGTCAACTGTCTAACTCTGTGTTCTGCGAAGAAGGCCGGATCGACGAAATGACTGATAACTCACTCAACTGCTTCGCTAGGACTCATTTCAAGAGTAGTCATTGTACAGTCGGAAGCGTTGGCGTACCATTTGAAGAGACATTGAAGTTGGCAGAGAAAATTGAATACAAAAGGGTAAGGTTATGTACACTTTGTCAGTTGTTTCAGGAATATAGACAAACGGTAAGGACATATGATTCAAACGTTACCACCGCTTAGCCGACTATGCTATCTAGTTATGCCTTTATTAATTAAAATTAAGTATAGTATTTCACGTCTTAAATTCGTCTTCCTCATTACTGAGGGTCGTGATTCCCTGATGAGAGACCGATTTCTTACTCTTGATGCTTCTCTATCTGTGTAATATGTCCTTGACGTCATAAAGAACTTCTTGCAGCTTGAGATTGAGAACTGAACGAAATTGAACGGACCATCTGACTAGGCTGCAGCCTCTTAGTCTTCGTACATCGATTTACCCAATAATGTCTTCCTAAAAAACTTCAGGAGGCTTCTGAGGCAGATGGTGGAAAGTCTTTCTTTTATCTTGAATTCTCTTGGGATAGATAATTTAACGATGTCAAAATGATAATTGCTTTAAAAAAAAACTTCTTAGCACTTCAAACCTGTATTTTTTATATATTTTTTATTGCTTATATGGGTGGACGAGCTCACAGCCCACCTGGTGTTAAGTGGTACAACGTAAATGCCGCCACTCATTTTGAGATATGAGTTCTAATGTACATGTGTAAAATGCCTTGAAAGAAATCAAATAAAGAGTAATAGAAGTAAGTAAATAGTACACAAAATAGAGCAGAATCTACTAAAAATTGTGTCTTAAATGGTTTAATTTGTCACATAAACTCCTCATAAAGGAGATGCCAGAGCAAAGGCAAGAGAAGCAGTCCTGTCCCCGTGGTGGCTTTGAACTCTTCGATCTTGGACGCGACAGCGACACGTGGATTGCCCTGGCAGTTCCTGGATGTGGCACTTGCGACGTTCCGTTAGTACACACACAACTAAAACTATACAACTACTTCAAAAATAAGCCATCGCTAAACAATTTCCTTTCATTTTTATTTGCTGCTAAGTATAAGGTATTATAAACGGCTGAAGCGAAAAGGAATTGAGATCATATAATCAAATATCTACTGATAAGGAGCTGACCTCACTAGAGGACGCACCTAAGCTGCCACATTATACAGCACATCTGCAGAGCCGACGACGACTTTATGAAAACATGTTAAAAAAAAATTTTTATGTTGCCTTTGAACAGGCAGAACATACGGTCCAACATAGTCTGTCTAAAGTTACTGGATTTTTACTTTTCACATTAATAAGATGATTTTTTTTAATCTAGAACCATGTATTAATTAATATTAAACGAGTATTAATGGCCGATTTAAAAAAAGGTAAAGTTTCTCAATATTTTTTTTTGTTCCTTTGATGTGTGGACGAGCTCACAGCCCACCTGGTGTTAAATGGTTACTGGAGCCCATAGACATTTACAACGTAAACGCCACCCACCTTGAGATGTAAGTCCTAAGGTCTCAGTATAGTTACAACGGCTGCTCCACCCTTCAAGCCCAAACGCGTTACTGCTTCACGGCAGAAATATTCGAATATTGTTCTAGATGAACCATTGATTGAATGGCGCCACATTTAAATTTTATCAAAACCTCACCAGTAGCCGTTGTGTTATGCTTAATGATGCATATTTAATTGACTTCGACTACATTGATGGTTTAGGCCGCTGAGTTTCACGCCGGATCTTCTCAGTGGATCGCGATTCTGATCCGGTGGTAGATTTTGCCAAGCACTTATCTTGCTACTGTTAGCAAATTCTCTCAGGTTGAACGCGTGAGCTCACCTACCCGTCCGCGCGTAGCTGGAATAGCCTCTTAGGCTACCAGCGAAAACGTAGAGGAAAAAAAAAAAGATGATTCTCATTCTAATTTTATTTTGCTGAAGTCGGTTTTATTTTTGGAACGAAGTTCCTTATGGGACGATGCGGAGGGGTACCCTAACCGGGAAAAAACGTCCGTAACGTAAGATTTTTATTAGTAATGCACACAGTGTACGACTTAACTTTGTAATAACGTACAAAAAATAACATTTTTTATCATTCATTGACCACGATCTCAGAGCGTTCGTTTGCGCAATACACTAAATCTTATGCAAACAACCGCGAATGAAGTGTACCACAATAAGTTCGCACGTTACGGAGTCACTATGGGTTGTTGCGAAACCTCCAGTTTTGTTTTCTTTATACCTCGAATAGAACTTAAAATTAATATTGTTATAATAAGGAACTTCGTTCCTATCCGGTGTACCACGACACCACACATCTTTTTGTTAAATTATTGTTTCATCGTGCAGGTGTTTGTTCAAGCACGCGATAATAGCGGCGGCTTGCGGCACGGGGAACATGCAGGCCGGCCAGCACGGGACTGACAGGACGCCTCAGCCGCCGCTCGGGCTAATGGCGGGAGACGATATCTTTACCGAATACAAGACGTTTAACTTGTCTTATTGTGAAACAGGAATTTTTGGTAATTTTAATGTTGGTTTTATAAAAAAAACTGATAATGTAATTAGCGTACGTTAATGTATTGTTACGCCGGTAAGAGTAATGCCATATATCGCCGAATAGCCGAAACGAATATCAAAGGATCTAGTAACGTCTAGAACGCCCGAGAAGTACAACGCCTTCTATTATCTGATAGCAAAAACACCCACATCGAAAATACTCGACTTGTGTGGAATATTCTTGATAATTCTAGGGATATCGTATCAACTACAAAAGCGTTGCAGAGATGGCACGCAGTCAGTTAGTAATCGGAACTACTCGAAGCGAAACAGCGAACGGATCACTAGAAGCGAAGCGGGAGAAACGAATTATGAATTTTTAAGTGTTCTGTGTTTGTTTTAAGTGATAAATACAGTTTTAAGTTGTACTTTGGTGGAACATTTATGTATACCGAACCCCAGCGCGTAACAGTATCACATCAATTTAAATGGTCATTAAGTCTTTAACCGCATGTCCTGGGTGGGCTGTTGCATGTATATTGCAATATCTCTAGACTCCACACGGTAATCTTTTAACATTAGTTGGGCTGATTGAAATTCAACCATAATCATTTTGATTGATAATTGGTAAATTTGTATGGAGTTAGAACAGCGCCCCTAGCGGCAAACGCAAACAAACGTTCTAACTCCAACTGAGTTAACTTTTACGCTATCGAGAACGTTAAGAAGCTCGCACTAAGCACAAAGATAGTAAATACAAAGTATATTTATCATACCTACGCTTAATGTTCCAATTTGCAATATCAAATCAAATCAAATCAAAAAAAAATTTATTCAACATAAATGAAAGTACATACTTGTTGAACGTAAAAAGAACTACCGCCATTTCACAAGAACTCGCCTCCGTCCTGAGAAGAATTGGCAAGAAACTCAGCGGGCATGTCTTTTTTTTTTAAATATTAGATATTTTTTTTAATATTAGATATTTTTAAATATTCATTTTTACATGAGTATAATAACATAACAATTATTACAATATTGAAATGCCCGGAGCGAGCAACTCATTCCCACTTTGTGCAATCTTCTAGAATATAGAAACACAACGGGATATATTTAAAATTGATAGATAGTTTAACGAGTCACTAAATTAATATCGGTCATTTTAAAGGTATCGTGGCGAAAACTCGCGCGGCCACTGCTCGGAAGGCGGCCGTGTCGGCTGCAGAGTTCCTCGCTCATGTCGGAGATCTGAACTTCAAGCAAATCGATGTGGGAAAACAAAGACTAAGTACATAGAGATTTATTTACTTTCAAAAGTATATATGTATTTTTTTTTATTGTTTGGATGGATGGACGAGCTGACAGCCCACCTGGTGTTAAGTGGTTACTGGAGCCCATAGACATCTACAACGTAAATGCGCCACCCACCTTGAGATATAAGTTCTAAGGTCTCAGTATAGTTACAACGGCTGCCCCATCCTTCAAACCGAAACGCATTACTGCTTCACGGCTGAAATAGGCAGGGAGGTGGTACCTACCCGTGCAGACTCACAAGAGGTCCTACCACCAGTATTTACGCAAATTATAATTTTGCGGGTTTGATTTTTATTACACGATGTTATTCCTTCATCGTGGAAGTCAATCGTGAACAATTGTTAAGTACGTATTTCATTAGAAAAATTGGTACCCGCCTGCGGGATTCGAACACCGGGGCATATCGTTCAACACGAATGCACCGGACGTCTTATCCTTTAGGCCACGACGACTTCAAAACGGGACATACGAGATTACACCTATTAATTAGGTATGTTATATACTAAATGCTATGCTAATACTATGCTATGCTATGCTATAATATATAAGTACACACACTTCAATGTAAAGCAAACGAAATAGTTTTCCTATTCAACACGATCATTTGTTCTTGAAAACTGTTCTCTTGCATCCAGTTGATTTCATATTTATTTAATAAGTTGCTTAAAGTTTCATTAACTATTTAGAGGTGAGTTTAGCTCTACATGACGAAGATTGTGTGAAAGTATCAGAAGGCCTCGCTCTTCAGCTTGCCAATAATGTTCAGATCGACAGCGCGAAGAACTCTATGTCAGTGATAGATATGCTGTGTCCTGATGAAATCTCTTGTACTGCGAAAATGATATCTAGTAAATGTGAGTGTTCTTGTAATGTCCAGGCATCTCTAAATATGTATTTATTTATAATTTATTCATAAATTAATGATTACTTTTGGTTTTTTGTTCTCATGTGTGATAAGAAAAAATAATCAGGACGAGTGCGTTCGGTTAGAAAGTAAAGTAACGTTTTTTTTGCAGACGGTACAAATACACGTTTATTTGCAAATAATTAGACAAATGATATAAAAGCCTTGGATTAACTTAAAATACTGTCGTAGTGCGATCTCTCATTTTTTTTGTTGCCCTTGTATGCAGACGAGCATATGGCCCACCTGATGGTGAGTGGTTACCGTCGCCCATGGACTTCAGCAATGCCAGGGGCAGAGCCAAGCCGCTGCCTACCGTTAAGTACTCTCCAAGTCTCCACAAGCCTCGTTTGAAGAAAGATATGTCATAGCGCTCGGGAAACACTGTGGAGGGGAGCTCATTCCAAAACCGGATGGTAAGTGGCAAAAAAGATCTCTGGTAACGCACCGTGGATGAACGCAGTGGCTCCAGGTAGTATGGATGAACTTCTACTCCGGTGACGGGCGGTGCGATGGTAAAAATGAGACGATGATATTATAGACAAAATTATATTTAGGTATCAGCTCGGTACATACATAAACAGTGCTCGTCCAATGTTCTAGTTCCCATAAATCAAAATCGAAAATTTATTCTTTAGGTTCGCAAATGGCAATGGCGGTTGTAGGTGATGTCGACGCGGTGCCACACGATGCAGAATTAGGAGTCAAATGAACGCTTTGATACCAAATTAATGTGAGGTTGTAGGTAATTAATTTTGATTCAATAAAGAATGTCATAACTGGATCTTTAGCTTTTTTAATTTAAAAGTATTCGCCTAATGATTGAAATTCGACAATTGACACCCAAGGTTTAAATATTATAATTTAATAGTATGTACTAAATTAGCTTTCTCATTTATTTTCTGAATTAAAAGAATCTGAATAGGTATATTATCGGTTAGATACATCACCTGTTGTAGTGTATTAGCCATAGATTATACACTTAATATACCTATTTATTAGCTATGCCTGTTACTAAACTAGAAAAATGCAGTTGACAAACATGAAAAAAAATGTTATAGTAGTATGGCAACTGGGATTTTTTTTGACATTTTACTGTTCAGTGAGTAAAATTATCCCTTGGTAAGATGAAGTAACTTGATGATGATTGATTGAATGTTTTCAAATAATATACAATTTCCATCACGAGCGCGTTCGTTCACATTTGAAGGGCTGGACAGCCGTTATACAATAAAATTAAGGCAAAGACCTCATTCTCAAGTTGGATGGAGCTATTCGTGTAGTGATATCCATGAGCTTCGGTGACCACCAGTTCATGAGTTCGTACACCGGTATTTTTATTTTTATATTTTATATTTCAATGAAACAAATTATATAAAATCAAGTTTTGACAATCAAAAAGTATCAAATTCCACAAATTTAATCTATCATATCAATAAACAATCTACAATTAAATAAATTATTTATTAATACAGATGTGCGTAATATTGCTTCACTTTCAGTTCAACATTGCAAACGTTGAGAAAACACACCGATCCCTATCTAAACATGCCAAAAGAGTAACAACTCCTAAACTCTAATGCTGCTAGTTTTATAAAGTCCATTGAACTCTAATTGCACATCATTTTACTGAAAAATTCTTTTATTTCATTTTGACTACCTATAATGTTATCCAAATCAAAATCAACTGCTGGATGTATGGGCTTTGAACCTTTTGCTTTTTAAACGTAACAAGCTATAAACTAAACGTCAATCCAATTAAATCCAATATTATTTTCGCGTTTAAAATACGTTGTTTAGTTACAAAAGTCTGCATTGAATTATAGAGCATTATGTAACATTATTTCAACATTTTCAAAATAAGCAAAAATGTTGAATTCAATTCAGAATTCCGTAAAATGTACGATAATAGTTTTTTGAGGTTATGTACCTATTATTTTTATACTAATTTATCTTTACAATTTCCAGATTTACGGTGGATAAACATTAAAACTACACTGAGGGGGGTAACACCGAAACGTGTACCAAATATTATTGCTAATCTTCCAAAAGAAAAAAATGAATTATCCGCTACGCACAAATTATTATTTTCACCGCGTACTGTTGGTCTTGAGATTACAGAAAAACCTCAAATCAGCCGAGTAAAACAAGACCCAATCCCTTATGTACCTATACTCAATCCTCGATCCATTTTGCCTCTTGTGGAAGATTGGGGTAAGGGCGAGATTGGTCTACCTTCACTTAAACAGGAGGAAATCCAAGCAGCCAGATTAATTGTGATTAGAAGGAAAAAGATGAAGAAACATCAAAGGAGGAAGCTTTGGAAGAGGATGAGGCATCGCTGGGCCAGGGTATGCAAAACTTATATACATAGAAGTAATAATAAATGTCTTGATTCTTTCTGGACCATGAGATGTAATTTAAAGATATAATTATGAAGTGCACCCTCTTTGAATATGAACTGACTTTTACTAATATAAATGAAGAATATGGTACATGTTATGATAAAACTTAAATGTGTCAGTCTTCAGTTTAAATTATTATTTTTATGTTTATTATGTTTGACACAAATATAATAAAACTAATAGTATATTAATAACTTTTAGGTTAAGCAACGTCGACGTCAAATCAAAGAAAAAAAGTTTCAAAATGAACTTCTAGCTCTTGTGCAGAACGCAAATGAGTTCTCCGCAGAAAAATATGTTGCGGAGAAGATTCAAAAAGCGAACTACACCCCTATACCAACTCGCTGGAGACACAAGAGACTCCCGGAGTTCATTATACGTCAACTGCTTGGGATTGACAAGAAAATCAATTACAAACATACTGATACATACAAAGCTTAAATTTAAATATTAAATTTATGGTAAAATGTAGGAAAGTTTGTGTTTATTATAGTTTTACACTGAAAATGTGTTTTTATTTGAAAGTTTGTAGACAAATGTTATACCAAATTATCTAATATTCTTCAAATCTGTTTTTCATTAAGGACAGCAACGAATGGTTCACCTGATATTAAGTTACTAGTATCAATAGATAATATATGAATGTCATTTCACACCTTGAGACTATTAAAGTTTAAAATGTTTATAACAAAGGCCTTATCTTTAAAACTAAAACTAAGAGTAAGAGCTAGATGCAAAAAGGTTATGTTGTTGGCACAATGGACAGATTGTAATGATACCTAATAAAGTACCTTGGTGTCAAATACACTTTTCTACTGATTAAGAGCCCGACTAAATGTTATCAATTGATTTGAAGCTTCTTTATCCTTTGGCAGGAAAGCGTTGCTTTTCAACACCACAAAACAAAAGTAAGTACATCTATCTATATGAAATATAATAAAATAATTTCTATTAAATCAAGTTGTTAGTCAATTAATATAGTATAATATGATACTTATTCCAAACTAATAAATATCTTTACTTCAATATTCTTTCAAATGATTTATTGCTTAGTAGGGTTGATGTCTATGGACTCCAGTAAGCGCACAACTTCAGGCCTGCGAACTTATTGATATGTGCAGCATGAAACAAAAAAAAAACCTTCAGAAAAGAAATACATGACTAAGAAGAAGGGGCCGAAATGTGGTTTAGGGTTGACCACGTGTTTGAGGTGCAGTGTTGATTGCAGGAGGCCTTCCTATGAAACCGATCTGATTGAAGGCGCAGTTAGGGCAGTTGAGAGGCAGTCTCCTTCCCGTGGTGGTCACGGGACGACCTAAGTTTTTTTTCTTTTTTACGGCCCACCTGCTGGTGAGTGGTTACTGTCGCCCATGGACTTAAGCAATGCCAGGGGCAGAGCCAAGCCGCTGCCTACCGAGTAAGGGGTGACTCTAGCGCACTGGCGCCCAGAAGACGGAAAGACGCGGGGGCGACTGCGGTCCGCGTAGCCGTCGCTGCTGAACTTACTGTGGAAGAGTAACCTGCTCGGCAGTGTATCGCGTTCCGACCCGGCAGGTTGGTTCTGACCCAGCGAGGTATCCCGATACATCAGAGGCAACACGCGGGCGGCCTGATTGGCTGCCGTACCGCGGAGACCGTGCGTGAATGTTGAGTTTGTGGAAGGCTTAAACGACAAAAGATCTTGCACAGAGCCGGTGATATTGCTCAGTAGACCGACGGTTCCAATGTTGTTGTTCGGAACTTGTATGCGACCTTATCTTGAAAATGTCGTAAGCGAGATTCAGGCATTTGTCAAATATGTTGTGTTTTACGATGGCTATCAGCCACAAGTTAAAAATCAACCAACCTTTACTGGTGCTAGGACCTCTTGTGAGTCTGCACGGGTAGGTACCACCACTCTGCCTATTTCAGCCTTAACACAGTAATGCGTTTGGGTTTGAAGGGTGGCGCAGCTGTTGTAACTATACTTGAGACCTTAGAACTTGACTCGAGGTGGGTGGCGCATTTACGTTGTAGATGTCTATGGGCTCCAGTAATCACTGAACACTAGGTGGGCTGTGAGCTCGTCCACCCAACTAAGCAATAAAAAAATAAAAAATAAACTCGCTCTTCGGTTAAACAGTCAAAGATTTTTGCAAAGGTCACAAAACCAATTCTCAAGATAACTCAAAATAATTCTGCGTGGGTTGCACTGAAATCTTATCAGTTTTCGTTCGACTGCTAAAAACAAGAATATCCCTGGAATAGAAAAAAAAACGTTAAGGTTATAGTAGGTATGTTACTAAAAGCCTTTGACACTGTAAGCCTGGTAATAATTGAAATGGTAAAAAAGGTATTTTTTTCAGAAAACTACTTCTACTTATCTGGTATTATTTTATATCTGAGTGTAAATAAGCTTGATTGTTAAAAATCGTTACTTAAACCCCCTCAAACTTGGAGGGGTGATTGTCATTTTTTCCCAATATTTCACTTCGGGTTCTTAACATAATTAAATAATAATAAAAAATAATAAAATTATTTATTGTCTTTCACACAGATTTAGATTATTACAGCTTAAAAAAAGAGAAGAAACATAGAATATGTAAAGTAACACATATAGAAAAGTCATTACAAGCGTATGTAAATGCCTATTTGGACATATTTTTATGGGCGCGCAATGTATAGCGAAGTAGTTCTTGTTTCCTTCAGATCGTGGACACAATGCACCATTTTTTTATTTTTTTTATTGCCCTTGTAGGCAGACGAGCATACGGCCCACCTGATGGTGAGTGGTTACCGTCGCCCATGGACTTCAGCAATGCCAGGGGCAGAGCCAAGCCGCTGCCTACCGCTTAATACTCTCCACAAGCCTCTTTTAATGAATTTATGTAAAATCACATTTGTGATATTTCAATGTTTCTTCACTATTTTTAATATCAGGTGTAATTATTAATACTACTGATATTGCCATACATTTTCATTTCTTTTATTCACCTAAACACAAGATAAAGTGGAAGGAACCAGGTCACAGGAGAGGTCACTAATGAGAGGGATAGACTAAATCAAGTCCACTTTGAAAGGCGCGGGTCATGAATGTAGCAGGTTGACGGTAAATAAAACATTAAAGAAGTTTCTCGCATAGGTACCTATTTTAATGTTACTTTAACATTATTTAAGAGCTTTTTTTATCTAAAAGCTTTACATCAAACGAGTTGTTGTAGATCTGGTAATCTTTAATAAAGGTTAAGTCTTATTTCCGACTAGCGACCCGCCCTTGCTTCGCTTCGGAAACATTAAATTTTATTATAGTCCCGCCATGTTGCGCGCGGTACGACAATAACTGCGGGTGACGCCGCGGGGCGAAGCTAGTCTAAAAAAAGTAGCCTAAGTTACTCCTTATATCATCAGCTACCTATCAGTGAAAGTCCCGTCAAAATCGGTCTAGCCGTTCTAGAGATTAGCTGGGACAAACAGACAGACAAAAATTGTAAAAAATGTTATTTTGGTGGATGTACCGTATATATGTTCATATGCACGTAGTAAAAAGCGGTTATTTCAATATTACAAACAGACACTCCAATTTTATTTATATGTATAGATACCGATCCTTCACAAATTAATTTAATTACTACACTATTTCGTATTTAATATAACTACTGTTATTTATGCAAGAAAATAATTCAAAATATTATTTTATAGCAGTCGCTATCCGCTCCGCTGATCGCTCAAGCAACGCTAAACGCTATCAACGGAACTAAAGCTTACTAAATTTTTAGGTCAACATCACGGCTCGTCGCAAAAATGTTCTTTATGATAAACTTGTTAATTACGGAAGAACTTTCGGTGACTCTGATTAATGACTGCAGCTTCCGAAGCACCGATATAATGTTGATAATAACAAGAGAAAAAGCTTTACCGAACTCGACAAAAACTTTCGTCATCGGGATATTTGTTTGCGCGTTGTGCAATGTTAGCTTTTTGACATTTACGCCTCTTTGAACATAAGTGTGATGTCGGTTGATCTCAGTATGGATCAGGTGTGCCGACGATTTAAAATGACTTCCATCATTAGTAGCTGGTCTGTTACCAGTAACCATCTTCAGCATTCATAATCTTTCATATATGTATATGTATATTTATGATTAGATGGGTGGACGAGCTCACAGCCCACATGGTGTTAAGTTGTTACTGGAGCCCATAGACATCTACAACGTAAATGCGCCACCCACCTTGAGATATAAGTTCTAAGGTCTTAAGTATAAGTACAACGGCTACCTCACCCTTCAAATCGAAACGCATTACTGCTTCACGGCAGAAATAGGCAGGGTGGTGGTACCTACCCACGCGGACTCACAAGAGGTCCTACCACCAGTAATTACGCAAATTATAATTTTGCGAGTTTGATTTTTATTACACGATGCTATTCCTTCACCGTGGAAGTCAATTGTGAACATTTGTTGAGTAATATATCTATACGCCTATTAAGTTCCTTAATTTCTATTTTAAAGACGGAATGTAGGGTACGCTGCAAGTCCTAATGTTCTCTCCCTGATCATCCATCTGGCATATTTTTTCCCGGAAGCAGTCATGAATTCCGGTTTACCTAGTCATTGTGTCAGCCGTTATCTCAATGTGGATGAGGATGGAACTTCGATCTTACATTTCAAAGTTGAACGTCGGTGTTCATTTGTCCTGGTAACCGCTTAACATAAAGTGTGTCGACAACCGGTCCATTCTAACAAAAACAAACTAGCTTATAAGATTTTTACAGTGTAACAGGAATGTGTTTACTAAATAATATTCCATATTCTAACTTGATAAGCACATACACTTCGTACATTAAAGCCATTCACGTTATGATGTTTTAGCATCCCATGTCCACTTAACGCCAGGTGGGCTGTGAGCTCGTTCAACCATTAAGTTCAAAAATGATCATAAGGCTTTTTACATGTTGTACGGATTAAAGTTTATCAGATGGACCTTCCTTTTGACCTTTCAAGGTATATGTCGGTAATTTTCTAGTTACATAATATAAAATAGGGATGTTACAACGATAATATTGTACATCGATTAAAACAAAACTGAATTATTGAAAAGTTATTAGTTATTTGTAGACAAATCTTAAAATTTTGTTTGTTAGCATTAATATTGTAATATTGTAATAGCAAATTGTAATAAAAGTGAAACCCGCAAAATTATAATTTGCGTAATTACTGGTGGTAGGACCTGTTGTGAGTCCGCGCGGGTAGGTACCACCGCCCTGCCTATTTCTGCCGTGAAGCAGTAATGCGTTTCGGTTTGAAGGGTGGGGCAGTCGTTGTAACTATACTGAGACCTTACAACTTATATCTCAAGGAGGGTGGCGCATTTACGTTGTAGATGTCTATGGGCTCCAGTAACCACTTGACACCAGGTGGGCTGTGAGCTCGTCCACCCATCTAAGCAATAAAAAAAAAAATTAAAGAACAATTGTAGGTAGCGGTTTCATAATTATTCTGATCTAAGTGGTCACTGCGGTAGATCGTCTGTCGTAAGCAACTATTTGAC